AATTAAATGCTTTTTTGATAATTTTCAGGTGAGAAGGCGAGATGTTAATGGTAATCTGTATAACCATGCCTGGCAAATGCAGCGACCAGGTGCTGTAAGCCATGCAAGGTTTATGGCAAAAGGCATCTACATGATGAAGATCTTTATGACAAGACACCAATTACCAGCTCATGTTCTGACACCTCTTGAAAGACAGCAGATTGAACGTGTTGCCAAGTTCACATTCTTTGTATATGCCAAATATTTCCTTCAGGCCATGCTACCAGCAGCTGCCCCACGACTTGACCTAGAGCTATGGGAAAATGTTCACCACTTCCAGGTATGAAGAAACAAATGTTGCAATCATAATTATCAGTTTTCTTTATCTTATAAGATCATTTTCATAAAGAAAACTAGGATGATATTAAACATTCATTTGTGCAGGTTTTAGATCTCATACTCCTTTCCCCAATCTTCCAGGCATTTGATGCTAATTTGGTACAGCGTGTCCATGTGTCAATCAAAAGGCATCTCTGGTACCTATCTGAAGAAATGATACCCCTCGCCTTGGTAGACAGGGCCACTGCAGATGATGAAAAGAGTGACATTGTCAGAGCAATGCTGCAAGCTGATCGACCCCAGGATTTCCCTCCAATGAAGCCAGACATGAAAGATCACCTGTTGGATGGTAGACCGGGGGAAGTGCACCTCCATCACTTTGCTGGTGAACGATCTTGGCTCCTTTTCGACCGCTTTGATGTGGATATCGATTGGATGCAGCTCCCACCTCAGGAATGGCAACAATCTGCAGCTTATATGAGATACAAGAATCTAGTTGACTCTCTGCAAGTTGTTAATGACTGCGCAGAGAGAGCGATAAAGGACGTCACAGAATTTGTGAATTATGCAAAGGATGCTGGCCGAAGAGACCGGGTTCAAATGGTGGCAAATCATCATAGACAGCTTTTAGATTTCAAGAATTTAACTAGACAACAGATTGACAATATGGATGATTTCATTTAAATATGGACTTCTATCATGGCACCATGAGAAATGATAACCTAACCTAATACTCTAGTATTGCATCTATACATGTAGCCCTTGGCCAATTGAATTGATGTTTTTCTGTGTATTAAAATTCTTGATCATAGTACATTATTCTGTTATATTATGAATATATAAGGTAACATCTTACATTATATCCAATATTTAGTGGGATAGCAAAAAGTATAGTGTATCTTAATTTCCTTTGAAAATGAACAAATTTCATAAAAAATGCCATTTTGGTCCGAAATGGCTGATATTTGAGGTGCAATTCCAAGAACCAAGACATTATCCTAGCAATCTGAAACTTTGCAGGATTATTTTTGATGGCAAAAGGAATGGGAACCCAAATGTGCTTAGCTCTAGGGTAAAAAAGTGAAATTTCCGAACACCCTAGTAAAGGGGGAGAAAAAGGGCAAATTTTGCACATGGGGACCACATTTGACTCAAAATATTTGCATTTAACAACATACGTTTCAGTACATTCTGTGTATGATTTCAAAATGAAATAATCTCGGGGATTTTGCGTCTAAATTTTTTGCATGAGATCTCTGAAGTTGATAACCCAAGTTTAGGTCATTTTGGCCAGTTTTTAGAGACTCAGCCCTCACCTATTTCCCCAAATATGACTAGATTTTGTAGAAAATGTGTTAAAAGTTTGAAAATGCAGCTGTTTTGAGCATGAAATAACTCAATTGTTTGAAAAAATGCTGAATGAGCAAAAATTATCATAGTAAAATTTTCCCATTTTTGGATATTAAGGTGTTACTACGGTAAATACCACTTCCGGGTAGTGTTTTTTAATACTTTAAAAACGAAGCCATGAAACTTCAATGGTGTGTATAGTAGGTTTAAGTGTATGCAATGTGGCCATTTGAGGTATGTATGTAAAGCTGAGGCCAATTACTTTCTAAATGTGCCATTTTTAGAAAAAAAATCGCAAGAATATAGTCCCGTAAACTTGAACTACTTTATTCGTTAATTTTCATCGGTGAAGCAGGGATTTTACCTAAAAATGAGTCCCTGTGTTGGCGTAGTGATATTTAAAAGTCAAGACGCAAACCCTATGTTAAATATATGGTCAAGATGAAGGTCATGTATAGGGGAACGCAGAAATATAGTTATTGTATGGGCTAATTCGTTCGAAAATGGCGATATGTATCCCAGAACCTGAATTTTGTGATTTTTCAATATTTTTCAATGATTTACCGTAGTGACACCCAAATGGAAATATAAACACTTCCGGTAAATATTCGGTTCAAGTGCGAGTTTGGACCAACTTTTGCAAGTTTGACCAGGAAATCACCTTTCATTTGGTATGTTAGTAACATTTTTGATCGTATTGGGTATGTAAGAATCATATACACGTCGAATTATTAGCATAAATGTCTCAGTTTGAACGATAAATGGAAATATAACACTTCCGGGAAATTTTGTCACAAACGCCTTATGGACTTTTCTCTATTATATTCCCTATATTTTTAGAATATACCATTGATAGTGCTGACTGTGACCAGCACATGTTATTTTCTGGTACAAAATAAAGTATGAAGAAATGTGTCAATTGCCTTGCTTTTTTCAGGAAAGTATCATTGCACTGTCTTCTTTAAGAATATCTAGTAGGAGTTCAATGGGAACTCCAGGAAATTCTGATATTTCACAATTTCTTTTTTCCAAATTTTCTTTCAAAGTTTCCAGACAACACAGGAGCTAAAGTGGGGGACAAAAATAAAACTCAACGTTCACAAGTTGTCACAATGAGCTAATTTCCAAGTTTCGTGTCTCAAACTCTCCCAAGCGGTAGAAAAATAATTCCCGTTCACTAAAGTAGCACAATAAATGAATCCAAAGCTTCATACCTGCAAATAATGGATAAATCCCTACCAAATCGAATGAATGTTTTCATGAATCGCCATGTTTGTTATCCAAGGACGGTTGACTCCCAGAATGCAACATCAGTTAACAGTATTTACTCATGACAAGTTTCAAAATGGCAGAACAGCATTTTGAAAGCTGGCACGTGTCATGTTGCATTCTGGGAGCCAATCCTCCGTTCCGGCGCAATCGGGCGACAAAATCACCTCAACATTTGAAGAGTCGGCATAACATGTGAATATCCAATTCAACTTTTGAAGTTCTTATTTGTCATTAGGGACACAAATTCCACTATATTTGGACTTACTAATACGGAGAAAATAGAGCACTGAATACACTGAGGTAAGAATTTATTACATGTGCGACAGCATGTAATTTTCATAGCTTTTGCAATTCTTTATGATCCCCACTGTACCATTGACCTGTTTCCAGGTTTACTAAAAGTAGACAGTGTAATGATACTTTCCTGAAAAAAAGCAAGGAAATACACACATGCCTTCATACTTAATTTTGTACCAGAAAATAACATGTGCAGGTATAGCAATTTTTTACCAAAATGTTACTTTCCAGCTGAACCTTAAAAAAGACATCACCCATCGAGATCCTTTGGGATGATATGATATCTTCCCTCTTGATAAACCCAATATACAATGCCTCCCTACTGTAGGCATTATTGTATATAAACTAGAACAAGTCTTTTACACCATGGAGTTATTTGATTTGTGCTATATTATGATCATCTTTCATTCAATTCAAGCAAGGGCGTTACAATACCCGGGAATTTATCGGTTCGTGCAGTACTTGTTTGTGATAGCGCCCTCTGTAGGTCACTGTGCTCATAGCCTACAGTAATACGGGGTAGGATATCGGGAATTCGGTCAGTTTCTATCCGTCGATTTCGCTATGAATTGAAGCAAGTGTGACCACTTTATCCACTTAAACAATTTGATAATTGATTAAATCTTTAAACAAAATCGATAAACACGTTATACACTTCCTATCTCCTTAGAAATTAGCATGTATTTATGGATTGTGTTTTCGAACAAGGCACGACCCAGACCAATAGGGAAATCCTTATGCTAATTAGTATGACGTCATATTTTCCTGGGGAATCCTAGATTTCAAAGCCTCAGTCTGTTATTGTGTCAAATGTAAACGCTCTTTTGCAGACAGAAAATTGACAGATTAGCTTTTAACTTTCAGCTTTGATGTTTAAATATTCTGTATTTCTACCGGACTTCTTGCTGAATATCATATAATGTTATAACTTGATTTGGACCATTGCCTGATTGATCATTCTGAAATTTTGATTGTGATTCATGATTGATTGGCAAGAAAAATAATTCCTATTGTTTTCCAGCGAAGTCAAAATGTTACAGCATGAGTTATAATGTCGAGTTTGCATCATGTTAAATTCTGCTAGTGATTAGAAGTCCATGCACAAGCATACACATAAAAGAGACAAACACACCCAGGCTCCAGGCCGTGGATGGAAATATAAAACTATTTAAGGCACAAACTGGTATTAATAGACCGATATGTAGTGTCTGCCATGTATTGAAGGTAAACCAATCTGCATTATTAATGTTTCTTCTATCAATACATGGGTTGTGCAATAGAAAAGCAATGGCACAATCAAAAATGTGCATATCAATAGTGAATATCTCTCGGTTCAAAGCTTATTTCCAACAGAATCGTGTCAAAATATGTGTCTGAGTAACAGTTATACATTATAAGATCGCAAACTCTTACCAATTATCAGCCGAATGGCTCATTTTCAACGAAATGTCCTTAAGACAACAGCCCTGGGTCGCGCCTGAGACCAAAAACTACTTCAAATAGCCCTCCCCTAATTATATTGGATAATCACATTTATGCGTGCGCGCGCAGCTCATCCACTGAACGAAACGCCACTTCCCGCTGAAATCACCGGGTATTGATCTTTCCCTTGATTCAAGCATTGATTGAAATTAGAATGACAAAATAGATGTATAGTTAGAAACCATGGGGAAACCTCCAATCTTTCAGACATATTGATCTAGTAAAATATAGTTCTTATATCATGCATATGTTATCTATTTAGTTTGTTTCATAAAAAGTACCTTTTTCGACGATTTTTAATAAATTTTGTACACTTCCTGGTTCGTGGACACCATATTACATCTCACGAGAAAATCCGGGATTATCTATTTCTAGTCACGTGATTTTCATAGCAACGGCGTAGCAACGGCAAAATGGCGGACGACGACGACAAACCCCAGACAAAACGCGTATTTGTTAACCATGTAGACTCATATGAAGGTAGACATATAGCAAAAGTGAGTAAAGCATATTTTTGGAAATGGTCGGAAGTGTATAGAAAAATATTGCGTTTCAAGGAGAGGGCAAAAACAAAAGTTTTCATATTGATTTTCTATTTTTCCAAATTTTTTTCAGATTTTTTCTGCTTCTCCTACTGTTAATATACTGTATAGAGCGCAATAGTATAGGAGTATAAGCTGTACATTATATCTTCCTTCATTCACGTTTGATCCAATTTCAATTTGGCTAGATCTGACCCCTGATCTTGACCATTTCTCTTGAAAGCTGATGCATAGCCCTGGGCCTTGAGATGTAGCCTACATTGTAGGTAGGCCTACACTGCAGACTGTATGCTGTAAATGGAGAATTCAATAGGCTAACCCTGACTCCCAGGAATTGAAAATGTCCAAGCTTATCTTGAGGGATATAATTTATAGCTTTGCATATCTGTCAATAAATACGTGAATCAAATGTACTTACATATGTAAGTTGTACAGAAGTGTATCTAGTACAAAGACCATCTCTTCATTTTGGTCATATGCAAATTCAATATGAAGCTTGGGAGGAAGCTACGTTATATTTCAAAACATGAAAATTAGCAGTCCAAATTGCTTATATTTCTTACCCCTTCTTAACACCACCAGAAATTTTCTCCCAAGGGCCAAAAAAGTAGTACACGTAGCTGTCTCAGTCTTAAATCGGCTAGTATTTCAAAATGTTTGTAAACACAGGGCTTGTATTGACGTCACTTCCTGGACTTCATACGCATAATGATAATAAAAATAATAATATAAATGAATCATGGACAGCTTTGGCTCTTAGATATTCTTAGTGAAATCATTCAAAAATAAAGTTGTGTCTAAAACACTCATGATTACCAATGTTGCTTGCCTTGATTGTGTTCATGGGGCAAACTGATTTTTGAAACTTGTAGTGATATTGTTTCTGGGAATGAAGTGATGTAGATAAAAGTATGCCTCTGATGGCAGACATTTTGAAATACTGGCTGATTCAAAGATTGAAGTGTATATTACTGCAATGATAGTCTTAGATAATAAATGTACATGATCCTATGCATGTATACCTTTATGTCCAATATTCTAATTTCTACCCCCATATGCACTTGCATCATCTATTCCTCAGACACTACATGGATGTGTGATTATACATGTAAGTCTCATAGATGTACATATACATACATGTAATACAACATGTACATTACTCATTGTTAAACTCTGTTTAAATTGATTGGTACACTGGAGGGATACAATTTACATTTGATTGGTGTTCAGTTGTACTTAACTTGTGTTTTGTACTCACTAGTAAGTAGTGCATGAAAAGTATATGTATCCCTGACCTACCTGCAGCATTAATCTAAATTATTGTAATTCATTTCCAGTACCTTTCACAATGTGTCGTTGGTGCATCACTTGAAGATCCCGAAGATGAAGAAGAAGATGCAGCCTCCGTAGATTCAGCATTCATTCCTCCACCAAAAGAAGGATGCTATGATATTATTGGAACTCTGAAAAAGAAAGGAAGTAGAAAGCCTGATTTCGTCAAGGAGATTATCGCTGTAAGTATATAAATTGATGTAACATTACATGTATATTATGATTTATAAACAATGTCATTTTATAACAAATTGATTAAAAATGTTTTAGAGTACATAGTACATGTATGGGGTTACTTAAAGCATTTTTTCATTCACTTCATCCAAAAGTTCATTGTAATTTTAAATTACCTTTCAGTTGTGTGTCTTGTTAGTGTAACAACAATGTGCAAATTACATGTATTTTAAAATTACATGTACAGTATTTTAATTTTGTTCTTTTTTCAGTATGAAACCAAAGATCAACTCTATGAACATCTCGTGGAGTGTGACATCATTGTTTATGACATCACAGAAGATCCTGATCAAATCGATGAATCTACTTGGGCAGTTTCAGGTAAGGCCAAAAATAGCATAGCATAAATAGCATGAAGGGAAACATTAAACAAAAATTAAACCCAATAAAAATCTAAATAATTTAAGGCACTGCTGTCATTAAAATGATAAAAAATGAACACCAAACATCCTGTTTTAAAGCAAAATTTACTTGCTAAGAAAAAGCTCAAATGGCAGCTTTTAAGAAAACAAACATTACTCAACCATAATCTGAGGTAATGCAACTAGTAGTGTGCTGTCCCCATAATTCCACTTCTAGCAACTTTAAGTTTAATTCCTATTAAATTAAAATGTTTTTCTCCACATCTGTTTCAGAGCTACATTCTGACCTTGATAGGTTGGAAAAACCCAAAATGTTTATCCTGGTCTCCACGGTGATGACTTGGGCCCGCAGTAAACCTCTGGATCCTGTAAGTACATTGTGGATTGCCCATGAGGAAGTGGTCATGATTATTTATGCCCTATTTATGCCCTTCCTTTCTTGAATAAAGGCCTTTAGATTTCATTGCCGATGTCATGCCTATTTAGTATTTATATCTACCTTGTTTCTCACATTTATACTATCAAATTTCACAGTGAAATTCAGAATGTTATTCTATATTTAGAAAGTACAGTATTTTAGTGATAATAGTAAAAAGTGTCACTTTTTATGTTAAGACCTTAAGTGGTGGATGACATATTGTTGAAGACTTAAATTTGTTGAGGATGGTGCTCGGCTTCTGGTGTATGGCATTTGGCATTCGGCGCTTGGCATCTATAACAAATTGCAGATATTGCATTTTAATGCCTTGTGAAGGTTTTTTAAGTATCACTATTTCTTTTATTTCTCCAGGATGATCCAGAAATCCCATTCACAGAGGATGACTACAGAAGGAGGAAACCCCATCCCAACTTTAAGGAACACATAAGTGCAGAAAAAACAGTCATAAAAATGGGCAAAACAAATAAGGCTAAACTTGTCACATATGTCATAGCCTCCGGGTTGACCTATGGGTGTGGAGAAAATATATTCCATTATTTATTCAAGGTAGGAATGAATTAAATGAAATAAAACGTGTTTATCAGTAGAGAAGAACCTAATTATCCAAATTTCTGTCTAATCCGAGCACCTCTCAATGAGAACGCATTTCCTCAGTCCCAATTTTCTGTCATCCATTGACACCTTCATCAGAGAAAAATTGAAATGTGAACACCTGCTAATCCAATTTTTGGCCAGTCCAAGTGCTGTTCTGATCAGACAGGTTTTACTGTATATTGAGGTAATTTCTGAGGCAAACGAATGTAATACTAGTGCTCTATTACCAGTTGTAGTTCAGTTGGTAAAACATTTGTAAGGTAATTGAAAACATGTGGGTTCAAGACCCACTCCATTGAGCTGACTTTTGCCCTCAGCATAGGATTTAAAAAAAGCAGAACTCAGAATCTGAAGGACAATTTCTTAAAATAATGGATTCAAATATGTAATTCATCTCTTTTTTTATTGAGAATATTGACAGACCTTAGCATCTAAAAGCCAAAAAGCCCAATGTCATTGTGTAATAATTTTGTGTCTGTTTCCAGTCTGCATGGCATAATGCACCAATGTTACAATGCTTTGGAAATGGCACAAATGTTGTACCCACAATCCACATTAAAGATCTTGCTGCGTGAGTACATATTATTAGATAATCACCAATCATTTTAATATAGGGGAACAATATGTAAAATGTTGAACATGAAAAAAAATAAAATCCCAAAAATGTCTGCCCCGATGTAGATATTTCAGGGGCTTAAAGTGTAACCCTTAAAATGGAACTTAGTGTAAGTCTTATAAAACAAATTGTGCTGCAGTATTTGCAAAACATATCTTTTATTACAGGGTAATTCAAAATATAGCTGACAGTCGTCCTAAAGTGCGTTACCTTGTCGCTGTTGACGATTCTCAGCCAACTTTGGAGGACATTGTGAAATGTGTGAGCATGAGTCTTGGAACAGGACGTGTGAAGACTATCACCAAAGAGGAGGCCTTATTAAACAAAGATATTGAGGTATGGCATTATGGCGTGCAAAAATATGTACTGTATATCCGAGCACGTCTCTAATATTGAGGTATGGCGTGCAAAAATCTGTATATTCAAACATGTCTCTAATCTGAAAAATCATGTGAATGCATTTTAGTTAATTTTTTAACTCATGTGAACTTCCATGCTATAAAACCTTGAAATGTGAACACCTCTCAGTCTGAACATTTTGGGCAGTTTGGGCAGAGTGCAAAAATACATGCATCTTATTCAAAAATTGAAAATATTGATTATAAAAATGTTTTTTTCAATTTAGAATAACAACAAAAGAACAAATCATATTGACAAAATTGTTGGCAACTGATTATCAATCACAGGTGGCCTTTTTGATGATGGAGCCAAAAAGCAAAAGGCAAAGAAGTACATTCTGCCTTGAAAGAAAAATGAAACATTTAAGGCCTGCATTGCAAAGCATATATATGATACATATTTCAAAGACAAAATTTATTGAAATATTCATGCATCTTGTATGTAGTAACCTGTATTTCTTCATTCTTCTACATTCTTGAAAGAGTTATGTAAAAGTTGATTTGATTTGTTTCTAATATTGAAATGTTGTACTTTCCAGCAAGCAGACTTTGACATGCTTTTGGTGAACCTTCGTATGGATGCTGTTTATGTCAAAGAAAACATGAGGATTCAATGGGCAGCTGAGATGGGAACAATAGAAAACATACAGAGGATGATCAAAGAATACAAAGAGGATAGGGGTTTATTGGTAAGCACTGAGAGATGATTTAATTTTCGTCAGTCAATCACTATTCTTAACCTCTTAAATAACCTGAATGACGGATATTTCTGCCACAGATGAATCCCCTGGGAACCAAGAGTGACAGGTATATCTGTCACAGAATTTTTTAACTGCTTTAACTTTGAACATTTTTATCCAATCTATTGAAATTATGTTTAAAATGTATGTAATTGTAATCATAACATGAATTGGAAAAGAGAATTTGGTCAAACATAAAAAGTAAAATAAAATAATAAAATATATCAAATAATTCTTGAGAACACTAACAAAATGTTGGTTGTAATCCGCAATATACAGTGTATTTCATTTACATGTAGCAATCTGAAATCATATTTGCTTATTATTTTGCAGCCAGTAAGGTCGGCCATCTTAGGACCCCCTGCAGTGGGCAAGACAACAGTCGCTAAACAGTTGTGTGACCACTATAAACTACATCACATAAAGATCAAAGATGTCATAGATGAAGCTATTGAGAATCTGGTAAGTACACTTCATGAAAAACTATGAGAAAGTTCTTGAAATATTAGTAGTCAGTGTTTGGAATCCGTTTCAATTTTTAATCATTTTTTTGATAAATGACCATGTGGTGGCATTTTGTCATGGTTACTGTAATGCCATATTTTCTAAAATAATCCATTATAATTTTTCTATAGTTCATATAGTATTTTTGCATAATCACTTACGAAAGACATAATGAGCATTGAAGCTAAGTGGTCTAAGACTCATTGGTCCCTAACTATTTGATAATGATTTTTTCCAGGAACGCAGTGCAGCTAGAGTAGATCAAGAAGATGTTGAAGATGACGATGGTAAAGCACAAGATGACCAAGAACTCCTTGAGGCAATTCAAGCCAGTAAAGAGGAGAACAATGGACGTATTGAAGACCAGTATATCATACGATTTTTCAGAGATAAACTGCACTCTATGCCCTGCCAGAACCAAGGGTTCATCTTGGATGGATTTCCAAAAACATTAGAGCAGGCTAAGGAATTGTTTGCAGGTAGGGTTGGTTTAATGCTGGGGTAAATTAGTGTTAAGCATTTAGAGTTGGTTAAATTCTAGGGAAAATTAGCATATCCTCCCTCTTATCCATTAGAAATGTAGTGATTCTGGTTTATGCAGAATGTATTGAAAATTAAACCTCAGCAGAATAAGTTTCGATGATATACAAGAATCAATTTGGCATTTTTATCTATACTGAGGATTTTTTCTGTTTATCAATTTCATTTTTTCAGATCTATTGACACCATAAATGTAATTATTTGGTAATTTTACATTTCTTTTATTTCACATTAAAATTCTATTTTGGAACCTTTTTTCCATTATTCTCTAGATATTTGATTTCATTGTTTAAGAATGTTCCCTCTCTTAGGTTTATCAACATCATTTTTTGAAAATTCAGGCTCTGAAAATATTTTATTTTTTCAGCTGAAGATGATGAAGAAGCAGAGGAATCATCAGCTGCTGCATTTGACAAGACAACAATGCCACAAAACCTTATAGTGCTTGAAGCCCAGGACGATTTCCTCAAATTACGTGTCATGAATCTCCCAGAGAACGTTGTAGCTGGAACGCACAACACAGAAGAAGGACTATCAAGACGTCTGGCTCTATATAGAGAGGTCAACACCGAAGATGAAACAGTTCTGAATTATTTTGATGAACTTGAGATTCACCCAGAAAAAATGGGTATGTATATAATTTTCAGGTGTAGATGTTTTGATAAGATGGGATTTGATAAGGGGTTGGAATAGGGGAGGTAAGCATATATGTTTGTACATTTTGCATTTTATTTTGTCATCAGCAAGAGGTTATAGCCATCATTTTTTCTATCTGGTATCAGAGATCATATTTGATGGTTTGCATCTGTGACAAACTGTTACACTTTTAAAATCAACAACATTTTGTTACATTGATTCCTAGATCATGTTTATTAAAGTACATTTAGTAATGGGCTTTATATAAGGATAGGACCATTAACCATACAATAAAGGATGCAATGTTATTTCAGACATAGTAAAAGATGCCTCAGATATGTGCAAAGACACAGTTGAAAAGATCAAGAAGATCATGGGAGAACCAAGGAATTATGGTCCAACTCCGGAGGAGCTGGAGGAAATGAGGAGAAAGGAAGAGGAGGCGAGGCTAAAGAAGGAAGCTGAAGAGAAGGCAGAGCGTGAGGCACGAGAAGCTGAGGAGGCTGCTCTGAGGAAAAATAGACAGGAAGAATGGGTGAGTTATACAATACGACAAAACCAATGTAGTGGAACACGTTTGGTACCTTTAAGAAATTCTTCACTTTGAAGGTGTTCCATATACACTAAGAATTGTTCCACAATATTTGTCAGTGGGTCATGGGACTCTGGCGTGTTCCACTTTTGGAGGTGTTCCACTTACAAATGTGTTCCACTTGACAGTTTATAATCTATATCATTGGGAGAGGATGAGTCAGAAGGGGAGAGGGTCAGAATGAAGTACGTGTACATGTAATTGAGAATGAAATGATAAAGGAAATTAAGGTTTTGCATCAATAGAAAGATGGCAGTTTGGTTTGCATAGAATACTAGTACCCTCCCATCTTTTCATGGACCCAACAAAATTCACATTGTTTTTGTTTGTTTTTTCTATTCAAGAAAAAATATATTAGAGCATCTGGGACAGATTTATTTTTCATGAAATATGGAAAAATGCACGTTTCATGTTACATATTCAGGATCCGGAATAAGATAATGTGAACACCAGTGAACTAATTTGATAGATGACATCGACATTTCAAAACATTTTAGTCAAAGCCATTCTTTTCAATTCCAGTCTACTCGACTAGAAGATGTAAAACGTGAAGAATACGAGATGCTTGAGACGCAATCTATCCCTCTTAGGAACTACCTGATGAAGCATGTCATGCCAACACTTACACAGGGTCTCATCGACTGCTGTAAGACTCGCCCTGATGATGCCATTGACTACCTGGTGAGTTCTGGTTGAGCAGTAAGGCCATTCAAAGTTAATTTATGTTTGATGTCCATGAGGTGCTGAATGTTATTGGAGTGGATTTTATATTATCCAATATGAAAAGTATATAAAAATGCTGAAGATTTTATGATGGTGATTTACTAAAGTTGCAATATATGAAGTTTTCAAAGCAGAAATTCCTTTGACTTTGACATAATTTTACAAAATTTAAGTAATGAGTTTTTAGTGTCACTTCTCATTTGGATTTGTCTCAGAAAAACTTTTTGGCATATCATTTGTCTTCTGAAAATTCTCATTCCCATAAGAGAGGGAGACTTCAATATATATTTAACTTTACTTGGCCTAATTGTTTATTATGATTTACATGTGTCCCTGTCCAAGATTTTTTGGACCCAGGAATTCTTATTTTTTGTAAATCAAATTGTGTGGATTAAAAGCAAGGTTTTGCCAACTACTCTATGTTCTAACAAAAGTTTTACATTAAAAATCTCTCATTAAAAATTGAAAAAATAATTTTTAGATTAATTAAAAGTTCTACCATGCATTCTCATTCTCAAGCTTTCGTTTGATGTATAATAAACATCAGATGTTTGAACTGACGTTAATAAAAATAAAACTTTCGGGGTAAACAATACAGGTAATGTTCTTGTTACTATTCAAAAAAACAAACAAATTTATAGCAAATTTAGCAAGTTTATGTGCCTTCAAAAATATGTTATGACTGATTATGCATTCACTGTTCTGTCTTCATGAGAAAATACTTCCATGAGAATATAAAGGGGAATATGCATACAATGTATAGTTGTTGTTGACCACCCAGTAGCTGTGTCTGATCTTCTTCAAATGTGTTTTTAAATAAAAAAACATTGACCACAAAACCACAAAAATCCATTTAACATACATTTAATTTTAACGAAGTTTGGAATCCCAGGTTCGAAATGTTTTGTTAATGTGTTTTCTGTTTAAATTATTCATTCCACCCGAGTTGAATTAAAGTGTTATGAGTATTTTTTTATTTGACACCCAGACATGTTGATTTCACTTTTTCGGTAAATAAGTTTAATTAGTTTATGAAAAAGATTTGATGGAATGTTTTTTCATTTGACACTTTGTGCCGTTATTGAACCATCTTTTATTTTGAAAAATGAATATAATTATAAATTATCCACAAAATCACATTATAGGAATCAAGAATTTATAGTAAGACAAACTAAGATGTTTGAATGAACAGTAAAATGTTAATGTTGATTATAAGCATATACAATTAATTGTAAGAAAGAACAAAATACAACATTTGATAAATACAGAACAACCCCCAAAAACCATTCGAAGTATGAATTTAAGATAATGAGATACTGATTCCAAGTAGGTAAATAAACAAAAAATTGAACATGAATAATATGGAATAACATTGAGCGATATATTTATATATTTATTTCAGTGTTTCTTTTGTATATCTCGTGCACCTTCTATTTCTACACAGTGTCGATTACATAACATTTCTGTTTATTCCTTGCTGATTTCACTCTTGTCTGCTTTATTTGCCATATAAAAACATATGACATTTTTTTTCATTTTTCCAGGCGGAGTATTTGTTCCAGAATAACCCACAGATAGACTGAGGCAGCAATGACAATCCAATATATTAAAAAATATTTAAAATATAACAATCTATTGACAATAAAGATTGACTTTACCATACTAAAGATAAGCCTGAAATCACAAAAGATCAAACCTCTGAGATGGACAAAAAAACTTGATTTCTTACAGACTCGTACATGTATGTTAAGATCCTTCATAGGTATATCCTGAATGCAGGATGTAACATATCACTTTCAAATATATAAGATGTAAATATATGTAAATATATCACATGTTAAAATTACAGTAATTTGACTGCAGTAAGATTTGTCTGTCTACACTGTGAAACAGGTAGCTTTGGGGCTAATTTCTCTTTTGAGAGGGGTAAAGGATTCAGACCCATAGACAGAGAGGGGGGGGTCAGGGGGTTCAACTAACACCCTGCCAAAATTAATTTCAAAATCATGCAGTTTATCACCATTTTTAGAACCTTACCAGTTATTTTGGGCCAAAATTGAAAGAATTTGAACCGCCTCCTGGATTTAAAAAAAATTGACCCCCTCCCTGGCAAACGCTGGCTACAGGCCTGGGATTTTTGCATAATTTCCATTGGCAGTGTATGTACTTACAGACATCATTAAAGCCCCATTTTCAAAAGTTACTTGTTTTACACTAAAAAAATATGTGTATGTTCTGAGAAACTGTAAAACTGTAATTATAAAACTATGAAATATATGTATATAGGAAATACAAATTCTTTAATTATCTATGGTTACGTTTTTACAATTCCATAATTCTGCGTCAAATAATTTTTGGCATTTGTTATTCATCTCAGAAGATTTTCGAAATGATTCAAATATGCAACCGTTAAAAACGGCTTTAACTTTCTGAATGATCTGTGTCGTTATACCTATACTTATTATCCATACGATAAAAATACTGGCATGTTTTATCAAACACATGTATTAGTCTGATACTGCTTGACGCTCATATTTGATCTACGGCAACCGTACGGCGACCGTAGCTTCCAAAACCCGAGAGAAATATCCAGCATAAGAGATGAGCAGATTTTCTATATCGATTTTGTGAAGCTACATGATGTACAATTCCAACGCTACGTAAAGATTGTTGAACATCAGACAAACATAATGCCAAGATTTCATGACTTTACATAATATATTAGTGAAACTATATGGCAAAACGTTCTCTCAAAATTTCCAATTTGAAATGTTGATCACACAAAAATCTAAAAAGGTTGCCAAACTTATGGAGGGGAGTGTACGTCAGCCACAACGCATGTCGTAGAGCAAATGTAACCGCGGCTTAAGATTTATAGTTACTGCAACCTTGCAGCATGCAAGTCTCAATTCACAAAATTGTGATAAAATAGGAAATAGCCATTCCGCGCGTCACACTCCTTGCCCGTAGACAGCTTTTACTAGGACAGGGAGCTTTTTTCCAGGGGGGGAGCTTTTTCACAATTTTGGCAAATGACACCACAAGACAAGAACGTCATCAGGTGAGAGTTCGTTAAATCGAAGAGCATCTTGCTTTAAATCAATATACAAATGTATGTTCATGTCCTAAAAATGGATTTATGACGCGCGGAAATTTACTATTTTATCACAATTTTGTAAATTGAGACTCCCCCAGGCTCCCCCAGCTCCCCCTCAGGCTACGGGCCTGTACTCCATTTTTAGGACATGAACATATATCTAGTTACGTTGGCACAGTGTTTACAAATTAATAAACTTAGGCTTGCAACTGGTTCTAATGACTTTGATGATCATTTTCACAATTCACAAACTTGTGATAAAATAGTTAAATAGCCATTTCGTATGTCATAATCCATGTTTAGGACAAGTACATATATTTTACTTTGGCACACAGTGTTCGCAAATCAATAAATTTTGCAACTGGTTCTTTCATTTTCACAATTCACAAATTGTGATAAAGTAGTTGAATAGCCATATTCTACGTTGGCACAGTGTTTGCAACCAAAATAAATTTTGCAACTGGTTTTATTGTTCTAGTAAATTTCAATTTGCTAATGCCCGTTTTCTGTAGAATCACTGTATCCTGCATGTCCATTTGCAACAAGTCCATTTTTTAATGAAGCGCTTGTATCTTGCTTTAAATCAATCAGTTCTTCAGAGGCAACTGATTTGTATTTGCGATTCTGAAGTTCGTTCCTCATACGCCTGATTTTGAGCCATCTCAAGGATCCGCAGAGAAGTCCACTACAGATGAAAATGACACCACAAGACAAGAACGTCGTCAGGTGAGAGTTCGTTAAATCGAAGAGCCAGCCTAAAGAATAATATAAGTACAATACAGTCCAACGGCCGGCTCCAAAAAATCAATGTCATTTATTCGCAGGGTTTATCATATCAAGTAGGTCATTGAGAGGGAGACACGCTCAAAAATAGTCTCAATATTTTTGGATTGAGAATTTGAAACAAAATGAATGATATACCCTGCGCGCAGATAGTTATAAACTACGAAGACGAAGCTGTCTCTTTTGAGAAGCTAAGTCGAACGAATGCAAAAGGTATGAAGGATCCGAACCAGACTGAACATATACAGTTAAATGAATTAAAAGACATATTGTCCAGAGCGTACAGAGCAAAATAATGGACAGGATCATCAAATATATAAACTGATTTACCGGCTATGGGAGGTCCAATTGTAAATGCGGCGCCCTGGAACATCACCAGGATCCCGAGACTATTGGTCAACTTCTCAATACCAAATAAGTCTACCAGACATATAGGACGAAGTGCTACCCATGTACCTGTAAAGTATAAGACAACGAGCTCAACATTGATTGTTTCATCAATTTAATGGGCTAAGTGGGGATATGTGCTCCTAGAGCGTATAGACCCATCAATACATGAATGTTGAGCATTTTCAGGTGATTTTGGCCAGAAATTGTCGAATTTGAACCCATCTATATTTTTTCTAAAAATCTATCTTCTCCCCTTTGGCATAAACTGGCTACGGGCCTGGGTCACGTTTCTATCTATCATAGATAGATCATATTTTGAGTACGTTTTCATCTATTCAACTTATGCCCAATTGACATTGACCCTGATGGCCGGAGTATTCCGGGGGACAAATTTACCGGAATTTGGTCTGTGGATGAAGTGTGGATGAAAGTTACAGGACATTATGCGGACACTACAGTGTATATATCATCGGAACATACCCATACAGAATCCAAATACGGCGCAGAGACAGATGAGGAAAGCATAGTTGGCAGTGAAAGGCAGAATCACCATGCTGAAACCGCCACAAATGAGAGCCGTGGCGTTGATGACTTTACAATCCATATGCGGCCGGTCACACAACCAACCGGTCGTAAGCCTCCCTAACACGTTCGTTATTCCGACGGTTGACACCAACATTGCCGCGTTCTCTTTAGTGAGGCCCTGTAAGACGACGTACTCCGGAATGAAGTTCATCACAGTAGATTGGGCTGAAAGTACAACGGAGCAGAATAACAACCAGAGGGACAATATGAAAAATAGGTTTGCGTTGTCAATTAGATTAAGGACAGAGTACTGTTCTAGTATACTTTTCATAAGCAGTTCTAGTTCTAAAATATTTCGTTATATCGGGGCGTCCAACGCCACATGTCGTGACTAAATGTTTTAGTAAATAACATGACATGTTCTCAGGGGGCATGATCAATAAGACGTTTGCACTCACTAAATAAAAAGCCGTTCGTTATTTATTACTCTCGATTACTGTACCTGTCCAGAAGACGGAACTGAGTGTAAAGATGAGATACAGCGGATCCATAAACATCTTGAGATCGATGGACCGGCACATGTTAGCGATCCTCTTTGGTAAATTCTTATCCATTTCCTCCACGCTCAGTTGCCCATCCTCTTCGGCCAAGCTGGGTTTTCGCATGACGCTCTTGGTATAAGACCTGAGGTCTCCCCTCGATTGAAACTCGGGTAATTTTAAAATATTCCCGCTGTAAAATATATCTTTCCTATATAACGGTGACATTGCAAGCTTAAGCGGGGTATGAGCCTGTTGTTGGCAGTTTTTGCGATGGCGTCTTTGTAGACTTCGGATATCTGTGAACGACTGGGTAATATTAGCACCAGTGTTTTCCAACATCCAGTTCGGAGTATTGATCCCGTTCACCGAAGAACCTTGTTGCTTTTGGGAAAAGTCTGTCACCTTGATGGACACGATTCTAGGATCCAATAGTGGTTTATTACCGGGTCGCATATCCAAGGAAACGTCTTTACATTTACGATTAGACATCGATGCACTTCGTGCTCTCATTTCTTCTTCATTTTCATCCACATTCTTGTGAAGTTCATTTATAGATGTCGTCACTTGTTCTTCGGTATATCGTCTGCTGGGTTTACAACAGATACATATTCTTTCTGAGAATGTCTTTTTAGGCGCCTTATAATCCAATGACTCTTTGCTACCGCGTGTGGAACCATAACTCTCTACAATGGGTCTATACATCGAACCGCAGACAGCGCAATTAAGAACAATCCCAGCGATGATGAGCGTACTGCCGCGCCAGTCGTAAGCGTCGGTGAGGGCATTACAGAGGTTGGCGAAGACGAACATCCCCAAGCCAGAGCCACACATCGCCATTCCATTAGCAAAAGCTCTTTTATTGTCAAAGTAAAAGTTCACCATCAATATCGCTGGTATAAACATCATGGAGAAACCAAAGCCTACAGGAAGATTTAAACATGTACACTCCCCTCCAAAATTTTCTTAGATCTGACCCCCGATTGGGTTGGCTCTCTGAACAAATCGATGACTATGATGATCTTCTAAATCATGAACAGGATTAAACGTGATCCAATCACATCGGGGAGACGAGAAACATTTGGAGGGGACTGTAGTTTGGTTAATATATACAACAATGGAAAAAGTCGAAACACAAAAAGGTTTAAATCAACACGCTAAACAGTGAAAGTTGGGGTTGTCAAAAGTTTGCTGGAAATTGTTTTTTATAAATGATTTAAAAACGGAGATTAAAATATAATCATTAGCCTATAAACACTAAATTTTGAAATGCCTGTAACATTTTTCCATTTGTGAGTTGAATCAATGCAACTTTGAATAAGCTTTAAAATGGTATATAACACATACTATGGAGACATTGGTATGTTTTCGGGACACTATGTAGTAGGCTATGATTGTGAGTCAATACCATATACAGGGTGGCCCGAAAGTATGGGAACCCCCTAGAGGAGGATATGTACCAATGTCTCCATAGTATGTGTCATATATCATTTTAAAGCATATCCAAAGTTACATTGATTTACCAAGTATCGTGGTTCAACCCACAAATGGGAATAGGTGTTGTTAGTGTTTGGCCAAAATCAAAGTTCAATTCAGTATCCTGGAAACAGTTCTGACCTAAATGTGACAGAAATCGGTGCTATCGTCAAAGATACGACAGATATTGGGTTGGAAAAAGAGGACGGTGAGGGCAGATAGTACTCCTAGGAAACTCTAATAAAATGCATTAAAAAGGGTTTACGAGGATAACAAAATGCCATACGTTAAATTTGGCCAAACACTAAATTTTGAAATGCCTGTAACATTTTTCCATTTTTGAGTTGAATCAATGCAACTTTGATTAAGCTTTAAAATGGTATATAACACATACTATAGAGACATTGGTATGTTTTTGGGACACCATGTAGTAGTAGAATAGAAATAGGAACAAACCTCCAAGGAATCCATATGTGAGAATAAGAACGTCGACGTTGGGAGAGATGATGCTAACTCCAATACCAAATGTTGAGATGAGCGCCCCGGTAATTGTGACAATCCGACAACCGTACTTGTTAACCATTACGCTCACCACGGGGCCTATAAGATAAACACAACGACAATTTGAGAAATTGTGCTATGTCCCGACTCTCAAGAGTGCCCACCTTTATAAGACCGCAATCCCGGGTAAGCTTACTAAAGAAAAAGAAACCTTCCCCTGTAGAATTGAACCATTCCCCGTCCCTCGAGTACTTACCCACCGCCATATGGACTCCCATTACTGTTGATCCGACCCAGGCAGTCTTGGCCCTACTTTCTTTGAAACTTTCCAAAAGATCCAAGAAAAACACTCCAAATGAGAAAAGAACGCCATCTATTATAAGTACGATGAGTAATGAAGCAAAGCAGACGACCCATCCCCAACCGCCATCTGGCGGAAGAATTGTCGCACTAGAGCCATTTTTCTTGGTCAGTGGCTGATTTTGGTTTAATGTGTCATCTGAATGAGTTTCATCAGCCTGAGACGTAGGTTCGTTATTCGGATGAAGTGTCGAGCTATTTTCATGTACATCCAAATGAGGTTTATTCACGTTTAGAAAGCTGGGGTTGTAAAGCCGAGTGTCTGCAGGACGTTTTGGCTTGCTCAGATTTGGAGCAGAACGGATCGCACTTGTCCCTTCTGCCACATGATCATAATCAGTAGCTTGTCGAGCATTTACAGCAATGTAATTCTTTTCCATCTCTCATAGAGCGAAGAGACAAATCACCAATCGCAACTTTAAATCGTTACAATACAAAGTTCAACTATAAATTGTATAACAACTGTTTGCCCCAGTTACACTACCTTGACAAGGTTCAAGCCGCTGGCAGCGGCTTCGATGCAACACGAAATTCTCTTTAATCAGTTTCAACTCAGCATCCTATTTACGAGTTCCGTTTTTTGGGTTTTCAGTAAACACTAGTAAGTAAGATGTAAGATGAGTTAGATGTACTCCTTGACGCAATACGCGTTCTCATTTTCCATAGTGCATTGTTGACGGTATAATTGCTCCTGCAAAAAAGAAGCAAAGTGTAATCACTTATTTCTGATATCATATAATACATAATTGTGTTAAACAAATGCAAATGTTTACCCCTATGAAAAAAATGAAAACACCAGTTGGAACTCCATGGCCGTCTTGTGCATTTGTATTCAAATATCGCAATTCCACATTTTACGTTCAGCTTTGTATGCGTATGCGTATCAACCTCTAAATATTCATAGAATAGTGCAAAACACTGACCAAATGCTCAAATACTGTTTACAAATCTAAATCTGAAAACAACTTTGTTCATTGGACTTCGCCGACTTCACTTAAATAGGGCCACAATGACTGACAAGGCCACATGACATCGATTAGCCTATCAGCTACGAGGAAGTATCGAATTCGATATGGGAGTACCTATTCTCGTGTTCTGTTTCAGGATTTGCGCAGAGCGTAAGTCGTAGATTTGAAATCCCCAAATGATCCAGGCAATCCAAAAATAGAGAAAGTCCAAAAGTCATTTTACCTTCTTCACGTAAATAAATAATCAAAATGATCTAATTTGCAAAAGGTTTCAAAGATATGCCTATCAGGAATAAAGTGAGCAGATATAACCACAATGCACACAGTTGCATGGTTTCAAGGTCCCTGTTCAAGGTAAGAAAAAACGTACTTTTGAAGAGGTAAATCGGTTAATAGACCAGGATCTGAGATGGTAAAACTCAATAGGATCAATAATATTTACCAGATGTTTGCAAAAATAAATCAGGTACTGATCAATATTGTCCATTTTAAGACTGATGTCAATTCAGATAATGATAGCCTATATTTGGAATGATAATTATATCTTTATAATTAAGCCCCAATGTTATTATGTTGATATATCGGGTTAAATGGCCGGTGTAGTTACCCGAGTGTAAAGAATATCATGCGAGCGTCAGGTGCGTATATGCATAGTAGTTGCACGGATTTGAAGATAATAGCTCTAATAAACATGATATATGCCATGTTTAAAGATGCTAACCGATATCCCTTTACGGGAGAGGGGTATGCGAGGCTTCTATCTATATCACACTCTAGTTTAGGCTAATATTAATATGGGCCTATCTTTGAAGTACGGACGAATTCGTGGTGACCGAAGACATGGTGACCACCATGGACAAATTAAGAAAAAGACGAATAAACTGTAGCGTGTGTGCCTCATTAGTAATTGGTCTGTGTCTTTAAGAAATGCCCGGAAAAGAGTCAGTGACTGAACATTGTACTTTGCGCAAGCTGCGGCCAATAAGTCATTGTCATTAGCCTTATCATATTTTGTTTTCTTGTCAACACGAGGCACAACATTATTTATTAAGATTTGAATTGTTATAAAGAATTAGATCATATATAGTTCATTTTGGTCCACTATATGATAACACAAGTCCATTCACACATTTGCACAATGGTATCTAAGTCCCACTTTAAAAGCTAATCCACTGGAAAGTGTGAACGTTGAGCAATGTAAACTGGTAAAGATGGACGTTAACCTCTATATAGAGTATACAGGGTGGTCCAAAAAATTGGAACATTTGTTAATTGAACGCAAAACCTTTATTTTTCTTCTAAAATTTACCAAACTTTTACTGAGCATAGTTCAATCACTTATTCATCTGATGTAAAGTTTATAGGTGAAAACCACAAAGTTAATACATTTAACAAATTTTACAAATGCCAAAACAAAGTTAATTTTCTTGAAACAAACGCGTGAAACAAAATTGTCAATGGTGAGATTTTTTGAGCGTCACATTGTAGAGATAAGTAACCTATTTTTATTTTACATTATCGATAAAACGGGGCAAAGAGTTAGGTTCACGAAAAGGACGCAAAGTAATTCTCAAAGAAGAGTACTGTGGATGATAGCCTGTATGTGTAAAATAATCGAAATTATAAATCAAGCAATAAAACTGATGATAAACGTTGACAATACGACACGGTTTACGGCATTGAAAAATATGTTAGTCTCGATAAGACTCATAAATGAACTTTTAGAACTACAAAGGCGGGAACTTTTCGATAACTTGAAAAATAATCTTGAATTGCCCCTTCAGAGTGAGACAAACTATCTATGATGATAATAGGTGAACGATCAATCTTATTTTAACATAATGCAATTTACCTATCCACAATATTACCTTTCACAGGCAAACTTAATTCCATGTAATATCCCTTCTCTTGTTTTTAATCGTACTTAAATATTTTTGAGGTAGTTGAATTGCGGCTCGAGTGACAGGTCCCTTTATTTTCTTGATAGATCGCCGAAACGTATTTTAATCCGTTAACGGAATTAACTTATTCATAGGTTTAGATAAATTGTATTCTCCAGACAAAATTGACCTTATTCCAGTACATGTGTTATGTATGTCCAGATTTCATTAAGTGGTCCCTTGTCTAGCCACGAAATAACATCGTTAGAAACTATTTGCGTTGATCTGTGTTGTCCATACAAACGCTGATAAAATTTCGATTAAAATGTCTTACTGTCAAATAATAGTTTTGCAAAGTGTAATGTGAATCAATTGACAATATGAGTACCAAATTATTTTCCAAATGTTTCATTTGCAGTTACTTGCTCACCTTGCATGATATGTAAAACTCCTTTTGGAATTACACCCCCGTCATAACTTTGGAAATTATTACATTTTAAAGCAGAAACCCAACACAAATCATCAACAATCTAACAATCAGTTCTGGTCAAAAAATTATTCCTGATGAATTATTAAATATTATTATATCTTAAGCAGGTTTGTTTATCTCGAGAAATTAAAAGTGAGCATTTTCCAATCGACTTCCAAATATGAGAAATTATCCGAACATTTTGCCAGAGGGGGGAACATCATCTATCGAAATATGAGCTACTGATTCAATAAAGGGTCGCGACGATTTCTTCTAAATTTTGCGTTGACATTTTGTGGCATTCCGTCACAGATGTCATTAATTTAGTTAATTGACAATATGTTGATAAAATAATCAAGCTTTTTTCTTTTCCAGGCTTCTAATATGTGCATGATTGTCCTCCGACTTAAAAGTCTCCTATGAGAGCTTCTCGAGCGGGAATACTTATTGAATTAATATTCAAAATTTCTCTACCTGTGCTGTATCGTTATGCAGTTATGTTTCCAATTTTAGATGAGCATTTGACGCCAATAAAAAAATAAAAGTAACAACAAGTATATTTATTCGAAACCGGATTGCGTCTGCAAGTTGAGTAATACACTTATACATTTGTTTACTATGAACAGCAAAGTTGGAGCAGATAACTTACCTACTTACCTTACGTCGGCAATCTCGAAAACAGCTGATCGCAAGCTACTTCCGTATCACTGTACTACTAGAGAAGGTCAGTGTCGATTCGCATTGTGAGATAGGAGGTTATATCTTATAAGATTATAAGGCTATAAGACCCAACGTTCTAATAAATGCTGTTAGATGTGCAAAGTTATGATGCACTGTCAATAATGGCATTATTATAACGCACAGATGCGATGTATCATTAATAATGAAAGAATGTTTACAGTGCATTAACATTATGCACTTCCAAAATGCATCGTCAACAGTACTCAAAATTAATGCACTATAAATAACGCACTGCAGAAATGCATGTAGCCAATTATGCACTGAAGAAAATAAACGCCAATGGCATCGTTTTGTGAATAACACGTAGTGGTAATGCAATGCAATAAATATTGCACTCCAGTAATGCACTGCGGTAGTAATGCACTGCTTTATTGCGCTGTTTTGCTTTCTTTTTTAAATCAGCCCTTGCTTTATTGTTTTATGCTGTTAATAACCAGTAGTTTATCATCCTATACTTCCCATTTCAAAAAATGCGCACTTAGTATTAACAAGAAACATTGTTTTTACCTATCGTTTAAATTTCCTATTTCAAACATTGCGCCCATACTATTATTAACAAGAAACATTGCACAGAAAAACTGCAACAACAGTGCAACAAAATAGGAAAACCTTGCAACATTGTACGGTAACCTTGCAACCCCTGTGAGATAAATTTGCAACAATGTATACACATGATCGATGCATGTAACTAAAAAACTACAGCACGTACTATTTGATTGTTCGTTATAGTTCAACTATATGTTGGTGAAAAGGGGCGGGTCAATGATGAAAGAACGAAAGAACAAAAGTAAGGGAACGTCCCCATTCAGAAAATATTCTGGACCAGTAAATATGCTAAGCCCGAAACAAATATTTTGGGGTTAAAGCTAGTATAATATAAGCCTGTGCTAGGACTTAGTAAACATATTCTGAATCATCGTTCGTTATGCAATAAAGTACTGATTAAAGAAATTCAATTGCCCGCCCCTAACAGGTACAAAAGTTCGAATAGAAACATTCTACATTCTTGGTTGAAATGGTTTGAACTTCGAGTTATTTTGATTTAATGTTGTTGACTTATTGGTTTGTACTTTTCCAATCTAACCTAGAGTACAAGATATTTGGTTTGATGTAATATTTTCTTCATTTGAAACCTGTAATTTCGAGCATCTCGCTAATCAATATGAACACATCTCTATGCTAACACCTTTTTCGGTACCATTTTTAATCTGCCATAGATCACAGGCTGGTATCGAAAGATTTGTCCGCATTGACGGAGCATGCTATTTTTCATAAAAACACTAAGAATATTTCGCGATTTATTTTTTAAGAAAATTACTTACTCTATGCAATGGATATATCGTTTGCGGGTAACCTTCACTTCTGTTTGCAGTCAAATAACGCTACCAGTAAAAGCTATTGAAAACGGCGACAGAGTATCAAACTCTAAAATGTTCTTTTTTAACTTTTTAATGGCATGATATAGTGACACGATAATATTATGTTTTCAGCATAACTCTGAATATATTAATGAGATATTGATGTATTGGGTCTTTTTAATTTGCAACTGCTCCGTCACAGCGGAAAAACAATTTAAACAATATTTTTTATAAAAGAATTAAAAAGACCCAATACATCAACATCTCATTAATACTTAGTCATAGTTATGCTGAAAACATATGTAAATACTATCGTGTCACTATGCCGTGCCATTAGAATGTTAAACAAGATTTTTTCATTTTGGAGTATGATACTCCGGCGACATTTTCAATAGCTTTTCCTCTCAGCGTTATTGGACTTCAAATAGAAGTGCGAGTTACCTGCAAATGATATATCAATTGCATGGACTTAGTAATTTTATTTGGTATAACGAAACATATGAATTAAAAATAAATTGTGTCTTTTTCTTTGTGTTTTTATGAAAAATAACGTGAACCGTCACAGCGGACAATCAACAGCCATAGTACATCTGAGGTCAACTGGCAAAATTGTATATACCGATCTCAAGTAGAAATTAGACTCGAATGTATACTGTTGGTATAGGTCGTCTACTTTAGAGGAAACGGAGTACAGACAGAAGCTGAGTCGAGCTTGCATTTAAAAAAAGCTTTACAATATTTTTGCTCTTAGCACCATATAACATGTCATATCGATCTATTGTTTGATATGTCACGAGTTCTGATTTAAATTCATGTAAATGGTTATTGTAAAAACGTGAAGATTCTTTTTCATTTCTCTTGAAGTTGTCATTTTCTGTATCACTAGTTCAGATCAGTTTAAATCATTATGACATCAAATGAGGTATTAATTTGGCTTGGATTGTCAGGACGCATTTTGCTGGTAACTAAATTAAAAACTGCTTCCAATATTTAACACCCTGTACAGGGGCAGATCTGGGAACCAACAAGGGGGGGGGGACCCAAACATCGAATTCTGGTCTGAGAAAAAACCTCCGCTAAACCTCCTGGGCCCCTAAAACCAAAAAGTGGCCCCAAACTTTGAAATTTTGAGGCCCGTTTTCTTCAAAATTAGGCCTAAAATTAAAAAATAAGGCCTTAGAAGGCCCATTTATGACCAAAAAGGCCCACTTTTTGGGGCCTTAAGGCCTTTTTGGGCCCAATTTTTTTCTGGGCCCACCCAAGGGGGGGGGGGGGGGGCGGGCCCCTGTCCCCCCGCCAGTGCTGTATCCTTTCTTGCCACTTTGATTGGAACTTAAAACCAACATGACCTCATTTTTTGAATGAATTCGTCATAATCCACTTTCAAAATCTTGAGAACATTCGATTTCAGGGACATGTCCTTAAAAGGTTCATTTAAATAAACATTCCTTTTTGGAAAACTCTACTCTATACCTTTTGAAAAATTATTTCAAAATCATACAGTTTTCACCAATTTGAGCATTTTCAAGTAATTTTGAGCCAAAGTTGTCGAAGTGAACCCAACTGGATTTTTTTTAAAGTGAACGACCCTTGGCAAAAGCTGGCGACGGGCATCCATGTGCTTATGTTCATTTTGTTAACTATAGCTAAAAATCATGTATAGACAGTAGGCAACGTTAGCACAGCGTTAACCATTGCACTCATTGCCCAGGAGTAGTAAGTTGTATTGTATTAAAATTAAATAAAATGCAAGATAAAAATCATTGAAATTATAAATGTGTGATGTATCCATGGTGACAGAAAATCAACATCCAATTTAAATAATTTTATTGCAATTTGATTTACTCAATTGATGTAAAATAGGCATACATTTAATCTTTAGTACCAAATACACTCGTTAAGCATGCACAATTTGCATGAAAATATGGATGCAAGTAGACCGTATTTAGGATGAATGTCCGAAAGTCAAAGTTTCCATGCTGGGTTTTCCTTTCACATCATTTTTTCATCAATTAAGACACAACAGAATAACAGTACTTTGGTTTCGTTTTTCAACCGCAATTAGATTATCAAATTATTTCAACTCGGGAACTTTTTATTTTAACTAATTAGATATTTCCAAGATGTTTTTAATTCAACAAGTGTGTATTAATTTACAACTTCTTGACCCTACTTTTTAGCATGTTAAGGTTGTTAGGTGCATATACCCACTAACCCCAAAAAGCTGTAACCTTGGCTCAAAACAACACCTATTGTAATAAGCTCGTACTTTACCCCCAATTGGTTCGATCGGGCCCCGGGGGCACGAAACAAAAAAATGAAAATGCTTTTTAACTAATAGTAAACTTATTCCAGCTATTCCATTCTCAAAATTCATTTCGTTCGTTGCGTAACTTCACTACCTAAGGGCACAAGAGGTACGGATTGCACTGGACGAAAGGCTCGGAGATTGCAGCTATTCCTGCAGAAATATATATTTCTATGGTTACACTTCCCTCAAAAAGTTTGGCAATAAGTAATTCTATTCATGTGTCAGTCATAAGTATCCAAAATATTCTAATTGCACTTCTTCTGGTTTCCAAACTAATTGAGGGGGTGTAAGTGAAAATCCATGATTTCTGAATACCAATGCTTAAAGTTTTCATGTTTACCCATAGGATAATTATATTGGAGCCCCACTGGAGCAAGTCACTGTGGAATAACCATAGTTTTGCTCATAGTTTATTTTTTTACTCTGGACATTCTTTGTTTCTAAATGTGCCAAATTAATAAGATAACAAAAATGCCCTGATAATTTTTTGAAGTTAGATTCACCTGATGAGTTCATTAGAGATTGGAAGGGTTTATTCAAAACTTACACTCTATTAAAAAAATTTACTTTTAATTTTGACGTTTCACATGTTGAGTATTTATGTGATTTTCATAATATAATTACAATACAATGAAGAGGATCGGGCAATATTTTATTTTTCAAAACTTAATGGGGATATTCGGACAAATACATACCCTCTGCATTCGTCCAACTTCACTTCTTAAAAGAGAGCTTCGTCTTCAGTTTATAACTAGACTCTGGGAGCAGGGTAACAAATACATTGTTCAAAATCAAAATATTTTGTTAAATTATGTTAAACATTTCCAATTTTTTTTGAAAGAACAGGACTCAGGTTTTAACTCTTCCATTTGAGAGTTAATACAGTTATAGTAAAACCTTAAAAGTAGAAAACCTCTGAAAATGGAAGACCTCTGTCAGTAGAAAACATTTCAGTGTCCCAAGACCAATTATAGATAGTTTCCATAACGTTGAATAAACAAAAGAAAACAAGTGCTGCCATCTTTTGTTCAACTTTTTACTTGGGCCAGACTGCCATAGACTTATGTGTTAAGATCTTGGAATAGTAATCGTCAAAATATGGGTTGTTAAACTAATAAGCCAAGGTTTTTAGAGAATTTAAAAATTGAATCAATGGAGATTTGGCCCTAGTATTTTCAGAAAATTCAACATTAAAATATATGAAAAAAACATACCAACAAAAAGTAGATGGATGTCAGTTTTATATTGCCATTTTATTCATACATGTATTAAATGTTTACATAATGTACAGCTATTTACAAATATCAATAGACATTGGAAAAACACAGTTAATTTCAGATTCCATTTTCCATTTAACTTGTTGCCACTTTAATCTTTCCAATTCTGTAATAGGTTTATCAGCTTCAATGCAGTTATATAGGCATAGCATTTGCGAGTTCAACTACAAGCTGACGTTTTAACCTACTTTTTCATGGCCAACTCATTGTAATATGAATGAAATAGTGTAAGGTAGGTTTTCATATTTAAATGAGGAGACCATAAAAAAGTAATGTTAATCTATCAGCCGGCAGTTGAAATTACAAATGCTGTCTTAGTTAACTACAATGGTATTTAATCTGCTCGTCTGATTTGTTATTTTCAGTCTGATATTTTACTTTCCTCAAAATGTCTGTTTGCTGGATAATAAACTTTGAAACTGTAATCATTCCTCGGAAATGACCCCTGAAAATAGATGTAAACAGGCATGTAGTGAACACTCCAAATTGTACAGAAATGTAATAAAATTTAATTCTAGAGAAAAAGAGTGGACTACGCATGAGAAAATGGATAATAAAAATGTTGAATTTCATAGAAACAGTGGAACAACTACATTTGGGCAACTTGAAAAACAAAATAAGAAGTCTAATGCCATAATTGAGTGGTCATGTTTTTAAATGCAAAATTGGGTAGAAAAAGTGAGGAATAAAGTAAACAAGCATGTACTCAACACTCTAAATTGTAGAGAAATGCAAAAAATGAGGTGGTTTATTAAAATTCTATAGAGAATGAGTGGACTAAACATGAGCAGATTCATTAATAAACGTATTGAAATAAAGAGAAAAACAGATAAATAAATACATAATTGGTACAAATGGAGCTGGAGAAGAAGTAGTCCATTTAAGTTGTTTTTTAAATAATCAGTTTACAAATATATGGGCTGGTATCCAAACTATATGTACTTACAGGGTTTACAACTTGGCAGTCAACTTGTGACACAGAGAAAGAATCATATTTATCTGCGCAAACGATGACATCTGGTAGGGGGTATGTCCTGAGTGCTACGTCATGGGCCCAGTATATGGGGGAGACATGTAGGGGCAGGGGGCATAGATGACCCTGGCAGATAATTGTCTTTGCAAACTGGAAAATAAAAGATTCTGAATTGTTATTTTCTCTAAAAGAAATTAACACAAGAATGATTAGTGTACTAAGGTACAATGATTAGTGACAGTGTACTTATAACTGAAAAGGCTTATGTTCAAGGTCCTTCGATCAATTAACTTTGACAAACATAAACTCCACAAGACACAAAGTAATACATGTAATATTGCACTTTAAAGAGCAAAATGGCCCCCATGGAATTAACCCAGTATTCCCAAAACCTAATTTGATGTTGGCACTTGTACATGTATGCTCTTGCATCTTTAAAAATTTTAAGTTTTTTTGACAAGTTTCCTGGAATTTTGATGACATTGATTTATGTAGCACCCACCCGACTATCAACACAATGCGACACACACAACAATATAGCGCTTTTTCAAAAAATTATAAACAGATTTCTAAAACAAGCATTTGGATCAAGAATTACAATGATCAGTAAAGCTGAATACTTCAGTAATATCTTGTAAAAATCAGACTCAAATGTATAATCAGGGTTTTCATCAGAATTTCTCACAACAGGCTGAATAAATGAAAACAACAGGCAAAATTAATGGAAATCATAAATCTAACATGGAAAAGTCCCTAAAATCAACAGTCGATTTTGTGAAAACAACCGTTGAAAATCGCCTGTTGCCTGCTGCTAATGAAACTGATGCTGGTAACTTTTATAGATATTTACTCACATGTTCAGGGACATCACCCTGATCAGGAAACTTGACGCAATTTCTGCACATTTTTGTAACAATATCTTCTCTAAATACAACAATCTCTTGTGTACAGTATTGGATCCTGCACGGATTGCTTGTGAATCGACTGTTTGGTATTTTTTCTTGAAAACCTTGTGTGATGACCTCTGGCAAAGATGGTCTGGAAAATGAAACTGATATTCACAATAGAGGAGAAGATATGATTTTTATCCTGAGATAATATTAGATCCTTCATGCATTGCTTGTGAACTGACTGTTAGGTAGACCTTAATTCATTCTTGGTGGAAACCCTATGTGATAAACTCAGGGAAAGATATAAATAATATTCAAAAGGGAGGGTATCTTATCTTGTGGAAATATTGGATCTTGTTTTCCTTGAAGTGAATCATATGCTTGGTATTTATTCTTGGAGATCTGTGTGATGACGTCAAGCAATTATGGCCAAGAAACAATAAATGTTTTTATTCACATTGGGAAGGGTGGATATGAATTTTATCCTATGAGATATCAAAAGAAAACTTAAAATCCAAATGACACAATGATTTCCAAATATGGTCTTGGTAATTTTTTTCATTATACAAATCTACAATTAGAAATCTTACCATATTTCAAATTTTTGGTTTTATATACGATGGGGATTTTAATTTAATCTTTTTCACAATCTTAAATTCTTAACAAATTGTATTTGTACCTTGGCAGTATGTTTGCAGGACCTGGGTCCCTTGGTCCAGGGATAAAGATGAATTTACTGTGTTCTACTAGACTTGGAAACTCCAGAATCAAGTTTGCCAAAGTGTCGAAATTGTCTGAAAATATGAGAAAGAAAATTAGATGCAAACTATCATTAAATTGCAGCCTGCCTTGCAGTGATATGTAAATAGGAATACATGTATTCATTTTTGGATGCACCTAAATTTAGCGTGCCACTGCTGTTAAAGTGTAATTCCAAATAAATAAAAAAATGTCATACTTGAAATCTAAAATGACCACCTTGTAAATTACCAAGCATACCCAGAACCATGGGCTTTCAACTAGATAATTGAAAGCCCATGCCAGAACCTAGTCTGATCTATTGTCTAATTTTGCATTGTCTTAGTTCAAGTTGAACGGATGATCATTTTTCTGATCTTGATCAGAAGATTTCTTGTGCCATCTACCCAACCATAATCACATGACAATAATAAAGCACTTCAGGTCTGAGAAATATACATTTACCTTTCATTTCTTTAATGTGTGTAGACCCATATGGTGTGGATGAAAAGTTTCCTGAGAATACAAAACAAGTAGGCGGAGATTCTGAGAATCCAGTAAATAATGTCCTTAATTTCTCAAATACCTGGAAAATTTAAAACAACATATACACAAAAATTCCCCAAATTTTGCCAGTTGATTTTTGGTTTCTTTGGATCTGCATTTTGGTGGAGACATCAGGTTCTCGATGGTGACATGAGAAGCTTTTCTTGTTTTGCTCTTTCTTTTGTCTCATCATAATCACTATCAGAACAGTTTATTCATCTTTCAGTGGCTATATTGAGGTATTATCGCTCATTTGAAAGCAAATAGCAGCTCAAAATCGACCTATATATATATTACAGTCATTCATTAAATGTGTTATCCTCCATACTCATATACTTGGTAAGTATGCAGATTGTGAACTTCTATAGAAACGTTTACCCTTTCAAAAACTCCTCTCAAAACGTCAAAGAATATTACATCCCAATATTTTTTCCACAAAACTGCAATAATAATCTGTTTTTAGAAACAAATGTTAATATCTGAAATGAAATGGGTAACTCACCTTTAGATTATCTAGCCATAAATCAGAAAGAAAAACAAACATGGCTGTCTCGTTTTCTTGCTCGATTTGCCGTAACCTTGACGATGCCTTCACACTGGTTTCTGACTGCCCTCCGAAAAAGTTTATATTTCCAAAGAAATTCCTGAAATAACAAAAGTGTTCTTTTACATGTAAATACAAATAATTGTCATGCTTTTTCAGCTAGTACCATATGGCAAATGTTTTTGTCACAATCACATGTATCCTACATGTATAAACTTATCAATTTTTTTTATTTTTTCTTATAAAGTCATTCTGGAATGTTACTGAGATGAAAAATCACATGCATATATAAAAATCTGCCACATTACAAAAATAAAGTCAACAACCATGACTCAAAATGGTTCAGATGTAAAAGAATATGATGGATTCAAAGACTTTCAAATGGAAAATATACAACCTTACATGATAACCCAAAAATTGGAAAAATAAGTCTGCATATTTAGGTAACCCTGTGAACAAGAACATTCATACAAGCCCGTAAACTCTAATTTTAATACCTGGTGGTTCTGGATGGTTCTGGGGGAGGAAAACCAAATGCGTTGATGTGGAACAGCTCATCCTCGTACCAACCTTCCGCCAGAACAAAACTATTTTCCGTAAATAAGCCTGTGTGGAAATTCTTGACAAAAGTTAAGTCAATATATATATTTGGAATTATTCCAGTTTTATTTAACATAATTAAACCAGAGTGTTTTAAATATCAAAATGGATTCGGTGAGCTATTTAGTCATGGGTTTCAATTCGTGGAAAAAATACTGAAATTGCGAACCATCAATGCAGATGTTTTTCAAGAAGAATATGGACTTGATTTCTCTAATTTTATATACATTTCTTACTGCTTCCATAATTTTCTGTAACATCTACACAGTAAAAATCTTAAATGAAGAGTCACTGAAATTTGAGTATGAAACTGAAAAGGTGAAAATGAACATACTGTCCAGGGCACAAGGCCAAGCCAAGTTTAGCCAAGGGGTTCAATTTATGAAAATTGCAGGCGAGGGGCTTCAAATTTGATGCCAAATCACTTGAACAGTGCTCAAAATGGTGAAAAACTGCATTATTTTGAAATAATTTTTCTACTATAAATAACACTGTCAATGTGATAGAACTTTAAAAAGACTGACTGTTTGGTTTTATACTAAACCTTACTTAAACACAGTTTGATAACATGGTACTTAGTAAAAGGATACAGCTTTTGTAAGGTCTAACTGTACAGCACCAGTGGGATCCTCTAGAAACCATTTTCCCTGAAACATAAAAACATGTAATTACAAACAGGTATTTGGTATGTTCAGTAAAAAATGTCTAATTGAACACCTCTATGTAGAACATTCAAAATAGACGAGGCTAATAGGACCATATAAGAATCCAACTGACCATTGTCCACCATTTTGAATATCATGTGATAGATCCATATAAGGCTTGTATGACCATACGGGAAAGCTAAGGGGAATCCCCTAATTTGAAAGAGTACGATAGTATTATGGGAGCTACTCACTTCTTCAGTGTTAAAATGATGAAATGATGATGCATATGAAAATATTGGAATTATTTCACATAACTTCAGAAAATAAGGTACTCTTTGTAGTTTCTGAAATTCAGTAGAGAGAGATGTGATAAAATAGACAGAAGTTTTACATTTCCTCTTCAACTTTCTAAAGTCATACGTTTGTTAACTGTTACATGCTCTCATTGATCTATAAACAAAAAAAAACAAAACCAAACCAAAAACACATTTTATTTCATACCTCCTTTAACTGAGTAAGCATTCCAAGGACGATAATGTCGCCTAATTTAGCAGTACTTCCAAGTAAGAATTCGATTGGTTTAAGTTCAAACTTTTTAGCCTTTGTGTCCCGTGAGCCAATTACAGTTGGGGTGAATAAATCATGTCGAGATGTTCTCTAAAATATGAAAACAATAACATTACAATGTATATCATTCTGTTGTTAAGACAATAGAGGTGTAAACCAAAAAATGTTTTACTTGTTCTTTATTCGAGTAGCAGTTTTCTGGCAAGTTACATCACTAAATAGTTTAGGATCATTCAGGTTTTCCTAAAAATACCACCTTTTTGAACCAATCTAGAATTTTGTTTTTTTAACCCAAATAAATTCGTTACAATCTCCCTACATATTGACTTTGTCATAAAATATATAAACCAGAACAACGGCAACGCCAAAGCGTAGCGAATCCCATCGAACAGAAATGGCTGGCATTTTACAAACGAATAGCAAATATCATAAAACAACACACATAAGAAAGGCCACCATTTTCAAAATGGTTGCTCACTAGCCAAGTTGTCATCGGAAGAAATAATATGCTTTTCAGTAGCCACCTCTAAAATTTTTGAAAAATCGCACACGTACTTGTAAAATAACACACATAAAAATGGTGGCCATTTTTCAAAATGGCCGACTACTCCCCAAAGTTTTATAAGAAAATGTGCCATTCTTAAAGTATTCACATATCAAATATGAACAAAATCGCTTCACTACTTTTTGAGTTATAGTAAAATACGTTAAAATGGCGGCCATTTTTCAAAATGGCCACCTTCTACCAAAAGTGTCATTAGAAATAGACAGTGTGCCATGCTTATAGTATTCACATACCAAATATGAACAAAATTGCTCCACTACTTTTCGATAATAATAGTAAAATACGTTAAAATGGCGGTCATTTTTCAAAATTTTTTTCAAAATGGCCGCCTTCTACCAAAAGTGTCATAGGGCAGTGTGCCGTGCTTATAGTATTCACATACCAAATATGAAAAAACTGCTCCACTACTTTTCGAGTTATAGTAAAATACGTTAAAATGGCGGCCATTTTTCAAAATGGCCACCTTCTACCAAAAGTGTCTTAAGACAGTGTACAATGCTTATAGTATTCACATACCAAATATGAACAAAATCGCTCCACTATTTTTTGAGTTATAGCAAAAATCGTAAAATGACGAGTAAAGGCCACCATTTTTCAAGATGGCTGCCATGTGCGTCTTTAATACCTACATTTGTAGCATTATTAATGTCCTTTATAATTTTTTTACATTTAAAACATATTGCTATAACAGTTTTACATATTGCACCTAAATTACTGTAAAATCGGCACTAAAATGGCCGCCATTTTGAAATGAGTGGCCATTTTGAATATCGGCTTTCGAGCAGAACTTCTACCCCCATAAGGTATATGTGTACAAAATATGAACAAAATCGGGCCAACGGTATTTGAGTTATTGCCCGGACGGACGGATGGACAGACAGACGGACGGACGTACGTACGGACGGACGGAGGCGTTTCCTGTATCCCTCCGAACTTTGTTCGATGGTATAATAAACATGTATTATACCTTCCATATAATCAAAGGTATTAAAGGGTAGAAAAATATAAAATCGAAATTTTGACTTTGTTTATAGTTTTTAGAAGTGTTTTGAGGTATTTTATACCGATTTTCAGAAATAAGTCGGTCCCTTAAGGTACCTCTGAAAAAAGTAAACTTTTACCTGATGAAGTATTGTGTATCTGTCTCTAAAGAGATCTACTTTGTCTTTTGAATCACCATGGATACACGGGTCTGCAATACCCAAGGCCTTATTTCTGGAGAGACAAAACAATTGATTAAAGAAAAGCTGGACATTTGAGACATTTAAAAAATTTTCTGACATTTTGATAATGTGATTTTTAAATGTATATCACTTTAGAAGCTTCTGTGTTAACTATTTGAAAACATTTAACTTACGATAAAAACTTTTTTCTCTCTGTCATGTATGTGTATCTTGGAACTGTGAACGCATCTATCACTGTCAATACTTTATCACTGAAATATGGGAAATAAAAATACAGTTCAATCAAAGATACAGTCGCAGATACAGTCTACTGCAGAAATCCCTGAAATGACTCAATACCAGATCACTTTAACACATGCAAAGTTGAACATTTTTCTTCTGACTTCACATGGGACTAGCAATCCATGTGCCTTAATTGTCATCTTGCTTATTTAGACTTAAATGAAACGATCTCTCATACCTTCCCATAATAACCAACTTAACAAAAGTGTGGAATTTAGTTGAAGTTGAAAATCTAGACTATGATACAGTGTCTTACTTGTCTTCTTCTTGTTCCTGATTACAATCCTCCACAGCTTGCTCCACTGTGGCTCTGTCTAACATGCTACTACTTACTGAAAAAAAATAGAGGAAACTTTTTTAAAGTTGCTGAGAAAGCTGCCATATGGAAAGTTCAATATATATCAGAAGCTTTTACCACTGTGGCTCTGTCTAACATACTACTACTTACTGAATCGACATATAACAGACACTTTATTAAAGTTGCTGAAAAACCCATGATGTTGAAAGTATAATGATCTAGGATTGGCTATGGATTGAGGGGATGGTCATTATGAAACACCATGTCTACTACTGTAGAAGATTCACTGTGTACTTTTTATATAAGTTGGTTATAATTTGAAGTACAGTGAAACCTTTGAAGTGAAACACCTCTGTAAGTGGAACACCTCTGTAAGTGGAACACTTTTCAGAGTCCCAAGACCAAATGACTTAATGCTAAATGTACCTCTATAAGTGCAACACCTTGTAAGTGGAACACTTTTAGAGGTACCAAAGGTGTTCCACTTAGGCAGGTTTTACTGTAGTTATAATATGATTTTGTTATGATATAAGGCAGTTATAATATGAAGTGGTTACATGAAATAAGGCAGTTATAAAATGAGAGTATTATGAGTTGGACATAATATAAGGTGCTCATAACATTGGGTGGCTATAACATGAGGTGGTTATAATAAGCCTGGGTGGCTATAATATGATGTTGTTATGATACTGTACTCCTACTAAATTTGGCGCTACTTATTTTGCGGTTGCTTCATTTGGCGGACTTGCAACATTACTATGTACTAATGGTAATAATTTACATGGTACTGAAATTACCAGGCAATTTGGCAGCTACTTAATTTGGCGGACTTTAACAATTTGGCAGAACTGCGGAACTGCCAAATTAAAAGGGCCACCAAATTAAGTAGAAGTACAATATAAGGCTGTTATAGTGTGAGGAGGTAATATGAGTTGACCATAATGTGATATAAGGTGGTCATATAATGAGGAGACATGATGTAAGGTGCGTATAACATGGGGTGGTCATAATATAAGGTGCTTATAACATGGGGTGGTCATAATATAAGGTGCGTATAACATGGGGTGGCTATAATATAAGGCGCTTATAACATGGGGTGGCTATAATATAAGGCGCTTATAACATGGGGTGGTCATAATATAAGGGGCTTATAACATGGGGTGCTCATAATATAAGGTGCATATAACATGTGGAGGCTATACTATAAGGTGGTTATAATATGAAGCTAAAGCAACTGAACCCTTGTGAATCAAGGAAATATAAAACACATTCAAAAGGCTCTTTTTGACTATCATATTTGTACTTACAAGATTGTTTCTGAATGGACTCTATGATTCTGTCTATGCATTCTGCAACATCGCTTTCACTGATGCTACTCAGGGCTTCCACAAGATATTTGCTGGCCTCACTGGAAGAAAATAAACAATATGATGGTTAAAAGCAGATTTAATCATTAATTTAACATCTGTAATGCTTCGCTACATGACTTATGCTGAACTAGGGTTGGTAATGGCATGCCAAAGGGGGAAACTAAAACATGCTTGAATATCAGTGTGTGGTCAGGTACGGCCATGTAAGCACCTCCTGCTGTATACTCCCTGCCCATATGCAAGCATATGGAACACCTTGTGATCTGGTGGGCTGGCCACATAAACAAGCATTGTTTTAGTGGAACTTAAGTGGACTGGATCACCTTTCGTTTAGGTTCAACTTTTCTCTTCTTCTGATCCAAAGCCATCGAGAACTGTCCTCTGCTACTGAGCTGATGGACTTAAGGGCCTTCTTAAGTTCTTTGGGTTGTAGTCCTAACTTGGACAATAGGGTTCTGACTGATGTTGCTGGGAACCCTCTACAGCCAATTTCGGAAGATGGATGCGTGCAAGCCTCTTGTCTTTGCATCATCTGCGAGGTCTCTATATTTCGCTATTTTGATCTCATGCGAAACATCAGCCTATCTTCCCATGGGACTTTTGGTCAAATGATGAGAATGGTCTTGGTCGAGCTGGAAGTCATAACCTGGATGTCTGGGCGCAAGGTTGTTACAGCCACATACTGAGGAAAGACAAGTTTCTAGAAGAGGTTTACTGACCAAGGTGCTTGGCTTTGGTGGGCCTCCCTTCCTTGATGAAGCATATATTCTGTTGATTTTGCAGTTCCGTCTTGGGTTGTGGTTTAGGAGTGTTTACGGCTCTGGGTTTCCCTTCCTTGATAAAGCATGTATTCTGTTGCTGTTGCAGTTCCGTAGCTCTATTGGCAAAACCTTTCTAATGGTCAACATATTTGGTGATTTCTTGAAGAACCTTCTTGTGTCTCCAGTCTGTTGCATTGGCCAAGATACTTGTCTTGGGTTGTGGTTTGGGAGTGTTTACAGCTCTGGGTTTCCCTTCCTTGATAAAGCATATCTTCTGTTGTTGTTGCAGTATTGTTGCTCTATTGGCAAAACCTCTCTGCTGGTCGACATATTTGAAGATTTCTTGAAGAACCTTGTTGTGTCTCCATGTGTATCTGCCTTCGCTCAAGGACTGGGAGCAAGAGCTTAAGATGTGTTGCAGATTGCAGCAGTCTCCTTTGCAAAGTGAGCACTTGTAAGAATATTCCTTTCCCCATACTTTCAGATTGGTTGACGTAGGCAAGATATTGGAGAAGGATCAAGAAAAATACTGAGGCGTCCCTGGTCCTTGGATGCTAGGAAATACAGGTATACAGTCTGTTACGTATTTCGAAGCAATTATCGACTGATTTTGCTTTAGTTTAGGGGCAATCTGCGCGAGGTTCAATTTTTTGGTTCAGTTTCTTGCGCATGCGCATGCACATTCTTAAATAATGATCTTGTGATCGCACTTGACCAATAGAAAATGGTTTAAATCGGGTCCTCAGCTAGCGGCCAATCATAAGACTCGTACTGAATACTGCTCGGATATCGAGTATTGGATAACTATTTGACCTATCACATGCCTCGTACTATTTCAATCATGAATCAACTTCCGGGAAGGAAACTTCGAAAGAAAATTTTATTTCTTTTAGAAATAGAATTTCCTTCAATTATTTAGTGGATTCTGACGAAATAAAGAGACTGAAGGTAAGTGGATTCACGAAGTTATTTACGAAATTCAAATTGCGTCCCAAAAACGTAATTATTTTTTTAATTTTCGTCCACCCAATCTTGATTTACGTCCTCTCCATTGAAGGACGCCTTTAATGAAACCTCAAAATTACAAGAGGGCACAGGTTTATTCACGCCCAGTGATCGTACAAAAATGATGGAGGGGGGGATTAGGCGATTTCTGCAAGAAAACTCAACAAATTTGGAAGATTTATTTTATTGAGAGAATTAATTTACATCTGAATTGCCAAATGAACAGGCGCAGTGCATGGCAAAATATGTTAGGTCATCTAGTATTTTTTTTTAACTGAAACCCTTCTAAGATATGAGATCTATTAAAAAAGGCGCATCATCACCAACTTGCAAAAGTCAATGTTTTTGCTATAAATCGGGCAACAATGGTCTACACGTCCTGTAATAAATAGGTATAATTGACGTTATTATCACAATACTAATGACATTGCCCACTTTTTAAAGTTAGTTTCCATGCGTTATACAAAAAATAATCTAAATAAATTAATTTGGGATGGAGGGGGGATCGGATGGAGGGGGAGATCATGCATTTATAAGACATGATAAGACGTGCTACTTGAATTTATTCTTATTACCCATTTTTCATTCTCCAGTTATATAATATCCAGTTTCTTACTGGGGTACTGAGTTTAGTTTTTTCAAATACACGAGTTCTTGTGAATTTGTTCAATGATCGTAAAGATATATAAATCCCCCCTCCATCCAATCCCCCCCTCCATCCCAAATTGATTTATTTAGATTATTTTTTGTATAACGCATGGAAACTAACTTTAAAAAGTGAGCAATGTCATAAGTATTGTGATAATAACGTCCCTTATACCTATTTACTACAGGTCGTGCAGACCATTGTTGCCCGGTTGATAGCAAAAACATTGACTTTTGCACATTGGTGATGATGCGCCTTTTTTAATAGATCTCATATCTTAGAAGGGTATCAGTTCAAAAAAAATACTAGATGACCTAACATATTTTGCCATGCACTGCGCCTATTCATTTGGCAATTCAGCCGAAATTTTCTCTTGAAAAAATAAATCTTTCAAATTTGTTGAGTTTTCTTGCAGAAATGGCCTGATCCCCCCTGCATCATTTTTGTACGATCACCAGGCGTGTTATTGCGGTAAACATTAAATAATCTGAAATATACAAATGTCATTCCTGTGCAATATGAATATATTTTTCCATATATTATGGCACAATGGTCTATAGATTTCTTATTTTCCAGGTTCAACTGCTTGCCTTTGAAGCAGTGTATCAGACCGTAAGTATGAACTCCACATGGGGTTCACTGTATACGAAATTCAGCAGGGTCCTAGCCTGAACCCTTAGATATTAATATGAATATTGTCGAAAAAAGTAGTAAATTTTGGTATATTGACATAGAATAAATAATATCGACAGCAGACAGATGTGTTGTTTATATTCCGTGGGCGATAATATGTGACTGTTTAAGTAGCCTGTCTTCAAGTAACAATAGGTGGATATTCGCAAAGTATTTATAAAAACTATTGACTTAAATTAGTAAAGTATATTCTATTCCACATTCAAAAGAAACATTACCTCCTCAAAGTGAGTCCGTGCATCTTGAACGCCGAAACAATCGACGATTTCTGTTTCGATGACATTTTTTCTTTCACGTTTGGCGGGCTTTAAGCCTCGTTTTGAATTCTAGAAATTCAGAATGTCCGACGATCATGACTACGGTTTTAAGGGCGAATACGCGAAGAGCGATCGATCTTCATGTAAATCGTGCAAAGAAGGAATAAATAAAGACACACTGCGTCTTGCAATTATGGTTCAGGTAAACTTTGATCTGTATTTCTTTCACAAATCTATTTTGAAACTTTGTTTTGATTTTTTAAAACTTCCGCCATGTTTCAATAAGCTGCCCAGTCTTGTACATATAATGAATGTGTATTAGAAGTGACAGTACTCGATAAAAAACGTTTATAAAACGCCTCGAAGACTTGTATAGTTGAATATCTCTAATTTGGTTACATTAGTCTACTGTATGTTTTCAATGTAGTTAGGCTACTGAGCTGTTCTAATATATTAGATATAAGATAGATGGTGCTGGCTGTGGAGCTGATTGAAAGATGGCGCCACAAATGTGAATGATCATAAGGGCAATCTACAATTGATTTGCTTTGGTTGTAGTTTGTGTATGTGTGTGTGCACAAAATTCAAGGTACTAGAGTATTTCATGGACTGACTGCTTTGGTAGAACTTGAAAAATAAGATTTACCCACGGACATCTAATACGTTCTTCGAACTGCCCTGGAACTATATCAATAACAGGACTGGCATCAGATCCAAGTATTTTTCAAGACCGCCGACTCTCGTTGGGCTATTTATCCCTATTGACTCAGTTGTTCATATAAATTTACGTACCTTAGATGCTTTGTAATCGATGTAGATAGAAAATATTGTTTCCTAAATTGTTCTGAAAAGCGATAATTATTACTAAATGTACTTTGAACAGCTCGACTGACAAAAAAGCCGGGCTTCTGGCACGTCTCGTTCTCGCTCTCAAACAAAACGTGAAGAACGTGACGTCACTTCCGAATCATAGCATTCAAAATAAGTAGCGTTTAATTCCCAACACCATATGTAATATAACGGTGGTCTAGTGGGAGAATCCTCGCTGAGCACGCTGGAGGCCCGGGTTCGAATCCCGTACTCGCTCTTTTGTTTTTTTTCGAGGTCGTTATCTTCATCGTCTAGTTTACGAATACCAAATGTCGATGTGATGTTTTAATTGATAAATACGAATTCCTTTCACATTTCGTTATCTTATTGTGAAATAGCAAACTAAGAGATATCTTTACTCGCTAGGAATTAACATAATATTATTTGAAGCGATTTTAGAAAATTTTGAAACCGCCATCTTGGTAATATTGATGACGTGATCACCATCGGTCAAGGTCAGGTCAAAAGTCATCCACCTTGCCATTTGCCCGGCGTTTTCTTACCAGTCGACAAAAAACGATGAAATCACGTTGAAAATAAAATATACACTTTAAAATTGAGGCTGATCGAATATGACAAGACTCCATTGAATACAGCTGTGCAATTTACAGTCACCAAGATGAGCTAATTTCGGAGAGATTTGGTGAGATTCGGGAATTGAAAAAGGTAAGCCCTTCCGGTTTCCCAACTTCAAAGTGTTTGAAATCCCAGAATATTCGCCAGAAACATTCTCTCTGACTGTGGATTTACCTGAAGATTAGGAGTCTTACATACCCTCGTCCTTTTTTTATTTGATGCTAAAACTATTCCCAAGCTCGAAATGACACACCTACTTTTTCCCTGGAGATTGGGATAATTTCAGTTAGGGGTAGATCTGAAATTCGAGTCTAGAGGGGTACATGTACATGTATGAATATTTAAATATGAATGTTAAAATGTTGATTGGCAAATGTCATTTATTATTGTGAAAATATAAAAGAGTAAGAGTGAATGACTTAAATTACTATATTTTCAAAATATGAATTATTTATTTCTTTTCTTTTCTTTATTTCAGTCAGCACACTTTGATGGGAAGGTAGGCCAATTTATTTCAGTATAATAAAAAATATTAAAATAGCATTATCTAATTGTGAATAATTAAGTGTATTTATTTATCTAATTTTGAATAGCATTATAAAGGTAAATTGCAGATTTCTTTATTTCAGTTGTTAAGTTCTGATGCTTCTGACTTCTCAACCAGATTGCCAAATTCTGAATTTTTCTTGATATGTAATCCTTTCAATTTCAATATTTCTAGATACCTAACTAGTTTAGTTTTACGCATTGTATGTGTATGAATATTCAATTTTGCACATTTGAATTGATCAGATAGTTTAATTATGCACATTTCAGGGGTCCAAGTTGTTCAATTATGCACACTTTTTATGCACAAATATTCAATTTTGCACATTTGAATTGACCTAATAGTTCCAATTATGCACATTTTAGGGGCCCAAATAGCTAACTTTTCTCATGTTTTAGGTACCCAATTGGTTCCATGTTAAATGCTTCTGGAAGCGTGCTCGGGTGAAAGACGTGTCGGAGATCCATGGATATGACGGTCTCAGGTGGGAGGATCAAAAGAAACTAAAAGATCAAATAGGTGAGGAAAAAGACACTCCATGATGAGGCTGTTTTCATTTTGATTTTTCACGTGTTACTAAATTGTTTGTTCATTTTGGTTTAAACTTAAAATTCAATAATACTGTAATACTTAATACTAAACCCATGATCCAAATATTGTCTCCTTTCTATTTTAAGAAATACAATTTATCTCCAGCTTCTGGTATGTTTGTTTAATGCTATTTTTAAACATCAATTTGATACTGAATTCTCTAGTTGTAAGTAATTTGTTTATTCTCCAATAGGTGGGGCTAGTGCTGGAGGAGGTGGTGATGCAGGTGGCGCTGCAACTGGCCCTAGTGGGAACTACAAAGACTATGTTGCTGAGTACGCAAAATCTGGAGCCAGTACATGTCGTGGGTGTAAAGAAAAAATTGCAAAGGTTTGTCTGAATAATCAGAGAGCTTCTGTACATAGTTGTCAACTCAAGATTTTTTGGACAACCCTCGTATAAAGAAAATTGAGTTTGGGAGAAAGCTTGCCAGACCAAAAGTCTACCTACATGTATTTAAACCTAATCAGTATGATTGCTCCACTGAATATGATAGAAATACTGTCTGTAGACATTTGTTGAACATGTTACTTTGTTGAGTATGATTTGCTGAAAAAACACACTGAAAAACGTCAGTCACAGTGAGAAATATATAATAATATTCTGATAATTTTGTTTGTAAGTGCATAATGCATGGCTGACTTTTATTTTGAAATTTATTACAGAATGAAGTGCGTTTATCAAAGAAGGATTATACAAGCTCTCGTGCCGTAATGTATGGCCCCATGGACCAGTGGTATCATGTTGACTGTTTCGCAGATGCAAGAGATGAACTTGATTTTGATACAACAATGCAGCCTGAACGGTAAATTCTGTTTTCCATATTTTTGTTTTCTACAATAAAGATTTTCAGGAGCATTTGATATTTTTTAATACACACATTCCTGGAATAATTACAGGCAATGCTAAGGGGTCTCACTCCCAAGGTCGGTCCCAATTTATTTATTATTGTAGGCCCGAAATGAGCCAAACCTTTTTGAGAAAATGGGCCTGCTTTGAAAAATGGGCCTCCAATTTTGAAAGAATATAGGCCTAGATCCAAAAACTGGCCCATATTCTCAAAGAGGAAAAGGGAAAAATACCAAAGAAATTAAAACTGTCAATAAAAAATATGTCATGTAACAAACAAATGATCAGAAGGGAGGATAACACAGAATTACACCTCTCCCTCCTAAATATGATGATGATGATGATGATGTTATAAATCATGATATGACATAATACGAATATTTCAGAATGCAGTACTTCATCAGACTGAAGAAAGAAGACAGAGACTACATCATCGAAAAACTGGGAAAGGGAGAGTAAGTACAAGACACAAGCACTGGGCAGAACTTTTTTCTTTGGAAATAAAAACAAGACATTAGAAATTCTTTTCTTGGCTTTTAAATGTTATTTGGATGAACTATTGTCAAGATTTACTTTGATTGGGATTATTTAAACAAGTAATTGTACTGTTGTTAAATATTCAATTCAATATTGCTCTGTCTTAACAGCAAGTCCCCACACCCTCCAGGTTGTAGAGGTGAAGGGTGTGGGGGGGAGTTACAAGGGTCAAAGCTAGATAATGTCTTTGTTACACAATTTTTTGAATTGAACAATTCTCTCTAATGACCATGCTGTTTGGCTCAACAAATGAAATAAAAGTTTAAACATATACGTGTATTTAATTGTGGCTGAACTGCTATTTTAGAGCTTATGTTTATATTTGAATTCTTAAATTAAAAATTGATTGGCTCTATTTTCTTATTCCAGCAAACGCAAGGCATCTGCTTCTGCCAAGGGAGCCACTCCTGCCAAAAAACAGAAGATCACTGAAACTCCAGAGGAAAAAACACTTAGGGTATGTTGTATATTTTCATGTATATAGAGGTTTTTTACTAGGAGGGATTAAATATGGATTTTACAATGTTTCCTATGTTCATGTCCAAATTTAATCTGACCATGGATTTTCAATAGTCTCTTGAAAACCCATGACCTGACCCGTTCTCCCAAAAAATAGTTAATTTTGCGCAAAACTTTAATATTGGATCTGGTTCCTTGCTGCCTGCAAAGTAAGACATCAAAATCTAGCTTTATGTAATATAATATGACTTCCCTGATTTTCCAAAAGGAGGATTGATTAATTGGAATGGTGTATATGCAGTGGCAGACATTGCCCCCCCCTTTTAAGGTTGACTCTGAAAAAAATTAGGGCCCAAAATGTGCTCCTCTCCACATAATAATTTTTGGCCTAATTTTCAAAACATTCATAATTGGGGCCCAAAATCCCACTCCTCTTAATTTCCAGGGCCACCTCTGATATGATTGTTAATATTTCAGGAACAAAGCCAGCTACTTTGGAAGATAAGAGATGAGTTATCCAAGAGTGTATCCAACAATGCCATGAAGGTTCTACTGGAATATAATAAGCAAGATATCCCACCTGGAGAGAGCAGGGTAAGCTGAAAAAATCTAAATGAGCATTATCCCTGCTTTGGACAAATTTGATTTTTTTTACATAATATAGATTTGAATGTCTTCTTTTGAATAGTCATAACTTAATCTGGGTAATATTTCTAGATTTTTCGCAAAAAAATATTAGCGCAGTACACTGATGAACTTCTTTCCCCAAATCGAGACTTGTATTTTATTGAATCGGTCAAATTGAGCCTTATCCCTGCTTCAGACCAATTTGTTATTTTTACATCTTGTAGATTTAAATGTCCTCTTTTGAATATTTATAGTTTAATTTGGGTAATATTTCTATATTTTTCATTAAAAAAATTATTAGCCCAGGAGACTGTTCTCCAAACCGAGAATCGTCCTTTGGTTCAAAAACAAATATGTACTAAAGATAAACTAAACGAATATGTTATTATAGTATTGTTATATATGCAGGCTCAAGGAACAGATAAAAAGCAATTTTGTAGACAATGAAAGGGTTTAGGGGTCAAGGATTTCATTTATGCCTCATTTAAGTCTAAGTCAGCAAAGAATTGCTTTAATATATGGAAATCCAAGATGGCCACCAAAATGAAAATGCAACTACATGTATTGATATAAGCTCAAATAACAGATAAAAATTAATTTTGTAGACCATGAAAGTGTTAGGGGATCAACGATTTTATTGTCTTAGTCATCAAAGAATAACTTGATGTGGAAATTGAAGATGGCTGCCAAAATTAATATGTTACTATTAATATATGTTCAAAGTGATTTTGGAGACCATGTCAAAGTTTCAATGGTCGAGAACTTTTATTTTGTCTAAAACTTAGTCATCAAATAATTGTTTTATTTGGATATTCAGGATGGCAACCAAAATGGCTGCCAAAAGAATAAGTAATTTTGGAATACATTTATTTGAATATCCAAGATAGCCCTGATGGGATGTACCATCTCAATTGTACCCTCTTCATCGCTGCAATGAACTGGATTGTGAAAGCAGAAGAGTCCTAGTAAAGAGGTCTCAAAGTGAATGATGACACAAAACATCCTTCTTGCCAAGCCTTTATGGACATCATCACTGTTATGACCTAGTCATTCCCTGGAGCACAAGGGATTCTAAGCTGCCTCGAGATGATGGCCAAAAAACAAAGACAAAAATGAAAACAACAAAGAACACTGAAAAATATAGATGGTATAACAGATAAAGAGAGAAATAAGCTAGAAAATAGGAAAAAACTTAACCAACAGCCAATTTGGCAGCGATTTTGGCAGCCATCTTTGATTTTCATCAAGACAACAATTTAACAATTAAAGTAAAAAGAAAAAATTTCAGTGGTAACTGAAATCCTCAATCCCTAGATCCTAGTTAACTAGTCAAAGATACCACAATCACTTGCCAACATCCTCTGTTAATGCTTATAGATATACATGTATGTACATGTAAATATTCATTTTGGTGATCATTTTGGATTTTAATATGAGGAAAGGTTAAGATGACTTTGGTAAAGGCTAAATTGAAACCATTTTCCCCTGAAACCTAGTTTCAGATATCTATTACGTACATTTCTTTTTAACTTTTTTATGTGCGCATAAATTCATTTTGGCAGCCATATGTTTGCCATTTTGGCAGCCATTTCAAATTTCTATATAAAGGTATTCTTTAATCACCTAGATTTATCCATGGATGGAATCTGTATTAACCTCTAAAACCCTATCATGGTCTGCAAAACCATTTTTTAAATATTCTTTGAGTTTATATAAATAGTTTACATATTCATTTTGGCACTCATTTTGGTGGCCATCTTGGAATTTCATATAGAGGATTTCTATTATTACTTAAATTTAGACACAAATAAAATCCTCAGCCTCTAAAACCTATTCATGGTCTCCAAAGTCACTTTTAACCTTCTTTGAGCTTTTTTTTTAGCTTATATCAATAGTAACATATTTGTTTTGAGACCCATTTTGGTGGCCATCTTGGATTTCCATATAAAGCAATTTTTTGATGACTTAGATTTTGACATAAATGAAATCCTTGACCCCTAAAACCCAGAAATAGACGTCAAAATCATTGTTTTTGCCTCTCATTATACTAAGATATAATTTCTTTTATTTGGTAAAAAGCGCAATAGCAGCCATTTTGAAAAATGGGCGATAACACCCATAAGCTACCACTCCCGCAATGCTATCACATATTTTCTTACTCTGGAGGTATTTACCTTGCCAAAAACCACTATGAGCATTATTCCCCTAACTTGGTACCGATAAGCTAAATTTTGGGGTGAAGCTGATGGCCTAATGAGACTTTTCTTAATATTTTGAGGGGCAATTTTTTAGAGCAAACTTTAAATCGGACATTGAGAAAGATACATTTTGGTTAAAATCGCAATAGAAATAAAAACCAATCCCTAAAAAGTTTAAAAAAATGAGTTTGGCTAGGGAGGTTTTCAAATAACTTGCAAGCATAGCTACAGTATATTAACAATTCATTTATAAGGCCCTTATGCAATATCTAGATCTTTAATGATATGATTTCATCTGATCATCTCACCCTCATATAAACAATGACCCTGTTTCAATTTTCAGCTTCTTGATCGTGTGAGTGACTGTATGGCGTTTGGGGCCCTTAAACCATGTACTGAATGCAAGAAAGGACAATTGGTTTATGGGTGAGTAATGAAGGATTAAAGCTCATGGCTCAGTGATTTTTAAATGATCTTAACCACAGATGTCCTGTATCAAGACTCCAGCTTATTTTATTCCAAGGTTATACTTATTCATGGTATACATGTATAGCATTAATATGTTTATGGAATTTTATGTACTTTTGAAATTGACTTACTCTTGCAATTTGACCTTCTTTTGGGAGGTCATCAAGATGTGCCAATTTTCCACATCTTGACTCAATTTTTCCCCACTATTGACCATTTAACATTTTTCAGAACTGGGGGCTACAAGTGCTCGGGGAACATGACAGAATGGACAAAGTGTCTCCACACAACACGAGAACCCCAAAGGAAACCATTCAGAGTCCCTAAAGAATTTCATGATGTAGAATTCTTGTAAGTTCATGTATGCAGTTAAACCTGAGAAGTGGAACGCTTTTGTTGCCTCCAAAGAGTGTTTCACTCAGGGGCTATTTTCTTCGCAGGGGTTCATTTTACTTTAAGTTTGAGAAATTACATTGACAAATGAGACTTTGAAGTGTTCCAATTTTTGAGGTGAAAAATTGTGTTTAGTTAACAGAAAAACATAATCTAGATCTGTAAATTAAACCCTGGTTAATGCTGTTCTAATGTATTTTAGTTGCATTTTGCTGCAAGATTAACAACATACTACACAATATTCTAATTGAAGAGGTTATGGACCCAACTTGCAGCACCCATTAGGCAGCACCCAACTTACCACACCCAATTTGCAGCACCCAACTTGCAGCACAGATTTGGCAGCACCCAAATTGCACCACCTTGATGTTATTGTATCACCATACCTGCGACAACTGTCATTCATTCCATTCAATCTTCTTATAGGAAAAAATATAAGTATGTAGAAAGAGTTAGAGCCTTTCCAAAGTTGACATCTCCGAGTTCGTCCCAGGCATCCTCTAGTGCATCATTTGATACCGTGGACTCTGCAGGGTAAAGCAATCTTTCTCTTTTATCCAAAGCCTCATATTTGTATATAGAATGATAATTGATATAAATATTTCTATAAACGTGGATGATGCTATCACTCTATAAAATGGAAATTCTCAAATGTTGGAACTATTAAAAGGGTAATATTTAGAAAGTATGGCATGACAAGGAAGAATATGAACTTTAAATGAATCAGTAACTGAGACAATTTCTGGCAATTTTACCTTTTTGGAAAAGTTTCTAGCTAAATCTGATTCACTTTTTTATAGGGCCTCAGAAAAGCCACTATTCAACATGAAGTTTGTGATTATTGGAAAAACCTCACTGTCGAAAAATGAGATAACTGCAAGTATTGCTAAACTAGGTGGTACTGTTGTCTCAAAGATTGACAAGAAAATAGTGGCTTGCATCAGTACAAAAGGTATGTCAATGTTTCGTGTTAAAAATTCTGAAGTAATGGAAATTCGTAGCAGAATGTTCTTCAAATTAAAATACATTGGAATTTTACGAATCAATTAAACAGGTTTACTATCTTATATTAATTCAAGTAATATTAGTGACTTGTTTTTGGACAGAACTCAAGTTCAAAATGGAGCCCCACTTTTTTAATGTTTCTTTGTATAAAAATTTAAGATTGATTAGTTTTTGGGCATGCTGGGTAAATTTTGTTGTTGTCATTTTGGATTGCCTGTCACAAAATCTTGTCTGCAAAGTCTTGCCTGTGCAATACCAGCCAGGTAAGATTTTCCAGAGAAAGAAATATGACGTGGTGTTATTATACTATGCAAAAGGGATATTCTTGAACATAGAAGCACCTGCTAGATATAAATGCAATACATGTGTATATGTTCTTGTAGATGAAGTTGCAAAATGCAGTAAAAAGATCCAAGATGCCAAAAAAGCAGATGTTCATGTCATTTCGGAAGATTTCATAAATGCTGTTGAAAAAGGTGGCGCTTTATTGATGATCCAGCAGCACAGTATCGCCTCCTGGGGATCAGATGTAAGCACTATAATTTCATTTATCCATCATTAAGAACAAAATCTGATCAGAAATGAAAAAAACTTATAATTCGGTGTTATAGTGTCATGGCAGCAGCCTGTAAAAATAGAGATAAGCCAAAAGACAACCATAAGGCGACTGCAAATTGGTCACTATTTAAGAGAACTGTGTCTGCCGTAGCCTCGCCATTTGACTAGGGCATACATTAAAATGGCGTTGACATACTTTTATTTGTTTTTAGCCAATGGAGAGAATTGAAGAGAAACCAGTTTTCAAAAGTCTTGGTAAAAGTTTAGTTGACAAAAAATCAGGTATGAATTGATTTTTTACATATTTTTCATTTTCCTTCATGAGGCAATGTTGGTTGAAGGAGATAACATTTTTATATTAAAAGTATCGTTCATGTACATCTATCAATAAACCAAATGGCAGATTCAGATCCGTATGTTGAAGGTGTAAGTTTGTTTATTTTACGACAAAATTAATATTTAGCTCAAGAGTGATAAGTGTTCATTCTGGGGTTGAAATCCCCCAAAGTTTTGATTCTCTATTGATTTAATGTACATCACTCACTTAATCTTGCATACATGTATGCTGGCTATTTTGTACAACAGGTGACACTTAAATAAAATAAATAAATAAAAATGTATCTTGTTTTCCACTGATAGAAGCGCAGTTTACAAAGAATGTTGCGACAACAATGAAGATGAAAGTCAAAGGTGGCGCTGCAGTTGATCCAGATTCAGGTTAGTTTCATTTAGCGGGCACTCTTACTACAATTGGTTTATTTGCAATGATTGTGATTTAACACTCATGAAGATCTCTGGTGCCTGTCATTGTATTTAGAAAACTCTTTGAAAACAGAAACTTCTATGTCATGTAATCTTTGAAAAAAATTAAGAAATAAGATGAAATAATTTTCAACGATGATTTGAGATGAGTCAAAAGATAATTTTAACAGGACAGAATAGGAGCGTTACACTACAGTTGGCAGATTACATAAATTACAAGATAAATATGGCAGTTTTTCCAATTTAGTAAGGACACATCTTTAATTATTGTGAGGTCAAATTATCGGGAGACAAATTTTAAGTTAACGTAAAACATAAATGAATTTTAATAAATCCTCTGCTAAAAGTTTAGTATAAAACCTTACCATGAATAAAATAAAAAGCATGCATTAATTTTAGGCTTATCTGATAAAGCTCACGTCCTGAACGAGAAAGACAATATCTATAATGCCATATTAGGAATGGTGGACATTGTAAGAGGAACCAATTCGTATTACAAGCTACAAATACTAGAAGCTGACAAAGGTACAACGTAAGTAGTTTTTGAGTACTATTTTTATCACATTTTTAAATAGTGCTATATTGCTGTGCTGATGGGTGATTTGGCGGGCGTATGAATGTGTGGGCGTGCAGTTCAGCGCCACATGAATGAAATCTTGCCATCAGAATTTCTTGAAAACTGCTTACCTTTTCAACTTAAGATTTTAGAAGATGCAAGAGCAGACTAGTGTCAAGGTCTGATCAGGTTTAGGGCATGCTGGATAGATTACTTGGTGGCATTTTGAATTTTCCGTAAATCTTGTCATCAAAATTCCAGGAAAACTTTTTATCCATTCAACTTGAAAGAAATTTTTACAGATGCAGGAGCAGTCTTGCGCCAAGATCTGATTAGGTTTTGGATATGCTTGCTTAATTACATGGCAGCCTATTTGAGTTTTTCGATGAATCTGCCATTTTAAACTACAGCTTGCTTCAAATTGACCAATTTTTTTTCAAAAATCATTTTAAAGTTCTCAGGAGTTCAAATCTGACCTTATCTATTTAAATTGATGTTTAAATTAATGGATCTGAAAAGTGGAATTTTCAAGGATGAAGGTCAAGGTCATCAAACTAGGTCATAAACGATGTTGTCTTACTTTCTTGAAGTTTAAGACTTCAAATATACTCCTGTCATATTTTGTAGGTGTTGTGTGTTTAGAGCCTGGGGTCGTGTAGGGACCACTATAGGAGGTAACAAGACAGAAAGATACAGCTCTAAAGCAGGGGCTCTATCACAGTTCCTTACATTATAATCTGATCATATTTTGTAGGTGTTGGGTGTTTAGAGCCTGGGGTCGTGTAGGGACCACTATAGGAGGTAACAAGACAGAGAGATACAGCTCTAAAGCAGGGGCTCTTATCACAGTTCCTTACATTATAATCTGATCATATTTTGTAGGTGTTGGGTGTTTAGAGCCTCAGGGGTCGTGTAGGGACCACTATAGGAGGTAACAAGACAGAAAGATACAGCTCTAGAGCAGGGGCTCTATCACAATTCCTTACATTATAATCTGATCATATTTTGTAGGTGTTGGGTGTTTAGAGCCTGGGGTCGTGTAGGGACCACTATAGGAGGTAACAAGACAGAGAGATACAGCTCTAAAGCAGGGGCTCTTTCACAGTTCCTTACATTATAATCTGATCATATTTTGTAGGTGTTGGGTGTTTAGAGCCTGGGGTCGTGTAGGAACCACTATAGGAGGTAACAAGACAGAGAGATACAGCTCTAAAGCAGGGGCTCTTTCACAGTTCCTTACATTATAATCTGATCATATTTTGTAGGTGTTGGGTGTTTAGAGCCTGGGGTCGTGTAGGGACCACTATAGGAGGTAACAAGACAGAAAGATATAGCTCTAAGGCAGGGGCTCTATCACAGTTCCTTACATTATAATATGATTTTGTAGGCGTTGGGTGTTTAGAGCTTGGGGTCGTGTAGGGACCACTATAGGAGGTAACAAGACAGAAAGATACAGCTCTAAGGCAGGGGCTCTCACAATTCCTTACATTATAATCTGATCATATTTTGTAGGTGTTGGGAATTTAGAGCCTGAGGTCGTGTAGGGACCACTATAGGAGGTAACAAGACAGAAAGATATAGCTCTAAGGCAGGGGCTCTCACAATTCCTTACATTATAATCTGATCATATTTTGTAGGTGTTGGGTGTTTAGAGCCTGGGGTCGTGTAGGGACCACTATAGGAGGTAACAAGACAGAAAGATACAGCTCTAAGGCAGGGGCTCTCACAATTCCTTACATTATAATCTGATCATATTTTGTAGGTGTTGGACGTTTAGAGCCTGGGGTCGTGTAGGGACCACTATAGGAGGTAACAAGAAAGAAAGATACAGCTCCAAGACAGGGGCTCTTATCACAGTTCCTTACATTATAATCTGATCATATTTTGCAGGTGTTGGGTGTTTAGAGCCTGGGGTCGTGTAGGGACCACTATAGGAGGTAACAAGACAGAAAGATACAGCTCTAAAGCAGGGGCTCTATCACAGTTCCTTACATTATAATCTGATCATATTTTGTAGGTGTTGGGTGTTTAGAGCCTGGGGTCGTGTAGGGACCACTATAGGAGGTAACAAGACAGAAAGATACAGCTCTAAGGCAGGGGCTCTTATCACAGTTCCTTACATTATAATCTGATCATATTTTGTAGGTGTTGGGTGTTTAGAGCTTGGGGTCGTGTAGGGACCACTATAGGAGGTAACAAGACAGAGAGATACAGCTCTAAAGCAGGGGCTCTTATCACAGTTCCTTACATTATAATCTGATCATATTTTGTAGGTGTTGGGTGTTTAGAGCCTGGGGTCGTGTAGGGACCACTATAGGAGGTAACAAGACAGAAAGATACAGCTCTAAAGCAGGGGCTCTTATCACAGTTCCTTACATTATAATCTGATCATATTTTGTAGGTGTTGGGTGTTTAGAGCCTGGGGTCGTGTAGGAACCACTATAGGAGGTAACAAGACAGAAAGATACAGCTCTAAGGCAGGGGCTCTCACAATTCCTTACATTATAATCTGATCATATTTTGTAGGTGTTGGGTGTTTAGAGCCTGGGGTCGTGTAGGGACCACTATAGGAGGTAACAAGACAGAAAGATATAGCTCTAAAGCAGGGGCTCTATCACAGTTCCTTACATTATAATCTGATCATATTTTGTAGGTGTTGGGTGTTTAGAGCCTGGGGTCGTGTAGGGACCACTATAGGAGGTAACAAGACAGAAAGATACAGCTCTAAGGCAGGGGCTCTCACAATTCCTTACATTATAATCTGATCATATTTTGTAGGTGTTGGGTGTTTAGAGCTTTGGGTCGTGTAGGGACCACTATAGGAGGTAACAAGAAAGAAAGATACAGCTCCAAGGCAGGGGCTCTTATCACAGTTCCTTACATTATAATCTGATCATATTTTGTAGGTGTTGGGTGTTTAGAGCCTGGGGTCGTGTAGGGACCACTATAGGAGGTAACAAGAAAGAAAGATACAGCTCTAAAGCAGGGGCTCTTATCACAGTTCCTTACATTATAATCTGATCATATTTTGTAGGTGTTGGGTGTTTAGAGCCTGGGGTCGTGTAGGAACCACTATAGGAGGTAACAAGACAGAAAGATATAGCTCTAAGGCAGGGGCTCTTATCACAGTTCCTTACATTATAATCTGATCATATTTTGTAGGTGTTGGGTGTTTAGAGCCTGGGGTCGTGTAGGGACCACTATAGGAGGTAACAAGAAAGAAAGATACAGCTCCAAGGCAGGGGCTCTATCACAGTTCCTTACATTATAATCTGATCATATTTTGTAGGTGTTGGGTGTTTAGAGCCTGGGGTAGTGTAGGGACCACTATAGGAGGTAACAAGACAGAAAGATATAGCTCTAAGGCAGGGGCTCTTATCACAGTTCCTTACATTATAATCTGATCATATTTTGTAGGTGTTGGGTGTTTAGAGCCTGGGGTCGTGTAGGAACCACTATAGGAGGTAACAAGACAGAGAGATATAGCTCTAAGGCAGGGGCTCTATCACAGTTCCTTACATTATACTCAGAAAAGACTGGAAATGACTGGGAAGACAGGAAAAATTTTGTGAAACATCCCAACAGATTTTATCCTCTTGATATTGATTATGGAGAGGTATGGATTTTGATTAAAATTATTAGCTCAATTTGACAGTCTGTAGACAAATCAGTTATGGTGTTGGGCAGTTGGTGTTCAGTGTTTGGCAGTCAGCTTATTTAACAAATTCTGATAACTTCCAATAACTTAACATGTACTGTTTAGATTGGCTTCATATACTTACTGTCAACATATAATATGAACATGTTATGAGTGCCAACACATTTTTTACCATAGCAACATATTAAAGGCCAAAAAAGTATTTTATAACTTGCTTCAAAATGACCACATTTTTTTCAAAATCAGCTACAAGTTCTCAAAAGTTCATATCTGACTTAAGATTTGTTTGACCTTCAACTGTAACAATTTGCAGGTGGTGACATTTTGCCATGTAAATGCCTAGTATTGAGTTGCAACTATAATTTATAAGTGATAGCAAGTGAAACAAAACATTTAAAACTTGTTCTATGGATAATATCCAAGGTCTATATTTTATGGTGCTTTTACCATTGATTTTTCTGATCTTTGCTATTAAGACCTCAGTTGATATTTTTGTCATAGAATTTGAATCAATTCTAGATAGCTTTATGGAAACTACCGTATGTATTTTTTTAAATATTTAAATATCACTTTATTTATAGGATGAGGTAGATGATTCAAAAAATCTTAAACTGAAATCGAAATCATCCTCAAAACTTCCAGTTTCTGTACAAGATCTTGTTAGAATTCTTTTCGATGTGGAGCAGATGAAAAAAGCCATGTTAGAATTTGAGGTATGCATTCTGGGTAATTTCCTCCCTTTAGACGATTGTAAACGCTGAACAAATAGGATTCATAAATTTTTAATGTCTGGAAAAACATAAAGAGACAAAAACAGTATCAAAACAAATCCTTTTACAACTCCTTCTGTCAAATAATGTGAGTCTATGGAATAATGTATTTACTTATTTTGCAACATGGACTTAAATTCTCTAATTAGTAGTTTATTATTTGTTTTCAGATTGATTTAAAGAAGATGCCATTAGGCAAGATCTCCAAGTCCCAGATTGAAAAAGCTTATAAAGTTTTGACTGAACTACAAAATGTAAGTAAACAGAAATTGATCTTGCCATTTTTAGAATAAAAGTACAATTTTTGAAATTCTGTATCTATTCTCTGTTAATAAATTTCCATTATTAAAACAACTAAGTTTACATGTTTTAAAGAGAGCTTAACCTCCTAAATGACTTGTGCATTTCATTTTTTAAATGTTGCCATTTTTGAATGTTGACATTTTTCTCTTTAGCTATGTGAGAAAGGGGGAACACCTACCAAGTTCCTGGATGCGTCCAACAGGTTCTATACCCTAATACCACATGACTTTGGAATGAAGAAGCCACCTCTGCTCGACAGCTCGGAAATCATCAAGGTAACACCATATTGCTTCAATAATATACATGTATGTTAATGTAATATTAATTTCGCAAAGTGAAAGCATGGGAATTCATTTTAAATTCTGTGTTATCAGTAACTATTTTTTGTATCCTTTCATTTACCTTCATGATTTTTAATAAATGTAATCTAGAACTAGTGATACAGATCTTCAGAGTCTTTCACAATACATGCTATGGCTCTACCGTATAAGATGGAGAAAATTGATGTGTTTTAGAAAAAGACCGAGATGATTGACAACCTGCTAGAAATAGAAGTCGCTTACAACTTACTGAAGGGAGGATCAGCAGAGAAAGACCCCATAGACAACCATTATGATCAACTTAAAACCAAAATTGAACCGCTTGATCATTCCTCTGAGGAGTATCAGCGCCTCTTGCAGTATGTCGCTAACACACACGCAACTACGCATAATATGTACGACCTTGAAGTACAAGAGGTAAGAACTGTAGAATTATTCGAGACTTATGTGAGTTTTACGATATGAGGCATACCATTTGATTTGAGTTATATTGTTTGAGGCATTCCATTTGAGTTGAGTCATATTACTTGAGGAATACCAATTGTTTTGAGCTATATTATTTGAGGGATTCCATTTGACTTGAGCTATATTGTTTGAGGGATACCATTTGAGTTGAGCTATATCATTTGAGCCATACCCTTTGAGTTGAATCATATTATCTGAGGCATGCCATTTGAGTCGAGTCATGTTATTTGAGGCATGCCATTTGACTTGAGTCATATTATTTGAGTCATTATTTGAGGCTTACCTTTTGAGGCAAACAATTTGAGGCTTACAATTTAGGGATAACATTTGAAATAATAATTATGATAGTGCTGTTGAAAATTAATAGTTATACAATGTTTTTTTACAACTCAATCCATCATTTCTATTTAATTCAGATATTTAAAGTTCAAAGAGAAGGTGAAGCGAAACGGTACAAACCCTTTAAGGCATTACCGAACAGGAAGTTGTTATGGCATGGGTCTCGGTCTACTAACTTCGCTGGAATCCTGTCCCAGGGGCTCAGAATTGCACCCCCAGAGGCCCCTGTTGTAAGTTGTTATTTACAATACATTATGAGCAAATTATTTCTTTTCATTTGTAAGAATTCTACATATTTATATTTTTCTATGTTTTAATAATATTGATTTAGAGTATAATGTCATTGCTAATACATAAGGAAATGTAGTGGACAAATTTTTTTAAAATCAAACTATTTTGATGTTTGATCATTCAACGCAAATCATATTCATTTGGTTTTTAGGGTTGTAAATGTTTCACTCCATAACCTATAAAATCCCATGTTTCCTCTTATTATAGACTGGCTACATGTTCGGAAAGGGTATCTATTTTGCTGATATGGTGTCTAAAAGTGCTAACTATTGTCGAACATCAAAATCAGATCCCATTGGCCTGTTAGGTCTATGTGAGGTTGCCTTAGGAAATCAGTAAGTGAACCTGGTGATCAATTTTGCGTGTATTAATCTTCACCCCTTCAAAAGATTGGTACCGTAACTGGAAGTACCCATTCTATTGGATAGTGTGTAAAGTCTTAAGTTTATATATGTTGTCAGTATAAAAAAAGAATAATTTTGACTTCCTTAATTTTAAATTAATTTTGTTGAATTTCTTTGCTCATTATGAGCATGTCCTCATAATCATTTTTGAAATTATTCTGAAAACTCACTTTAGATTTAAATCTTATCTTCCTATGCAACATACATATGTAGTTGACAAATATTCTAAATCATTTCAGATATGAACTGAGAGGAGCTGAATATGTGACTTCGCTTCCAAAAGGAAAACACAGCACAAAAGGTATTCAAATAATAGTATAATTTTGTGATTCCTGTAGATTGCCTTTGGTACCTCAAATAATGTTGCAGTTTTAAGTTAATGATTAACAGGACTGAAAAGTGTTCCAATTACATGTAGTTTATTTCACTTACACAGGTGTTCCACTTACATGCAGTTTATTTCACTTACACAGGTGTTCCACTTACATGCAGTTTATTTCACTCACACAGGTGTTCCACTTACATGCAGTTTATTTCACTTACACAGGTGTTCCACTTACATGCAGTTTATTTCACTTACACAGGTGTTCCACTTACATGTAGTTTATTTCACTTACACAGGTGTTCCACTTACATGCAGTTTATTTCACTTACACAGGTGTTCCACTTACATGCAGTTTATTTCACTTACACAGGTGTTCCACTTACATGCAGTTTATTTCACTTACACAGGTGTTCCACTTACATGCAGTTTATTTCACTTACACAGGTGTTCCACTTACATGCAGTTTATTTCACTTACACAGGTGTTCCACTTTACTGCATGTATTACTATAATCTCAAAATATAAAAAATATTATTTTTTTATTCATCGAAAGAGTTCAACCTATTTAATTACTATTTTTAATGTTACCACCAGAAGTATTGTTATAGTCTTCGACTTTTTTGTGCAGTGGCTTATGTTTGGTGGTTGGTGTTCAGCAGTTGGTGTTTGACGTCTGTAACATCAATTGGCAATCAGTATCTTTTATTTTTTGTACTTTTATTTTACATCACTGTACATATAAATGGTATCTCCATTTTATTATGGGCAATAAAGATATACAATACAACAATCTGTAACAGATGGCAAGTGGTGATATTCTGCATGTTAATGCCTTGTATTTTTATTGTGGGCAAATTAGGCTATTCATTCATTTGTGCATGGCTTTGACTTTAACATCAGCAACAAATTTTGTTGAGGCAAAAGACCCCGTGCAGCATGGCAAGTGATTTTAGACAGTCATATTTTTCACCATGAGTACTTTCTGGGCATAAATACAGTGTTTTGTTTTTTATTAATCAAACAATTCGAAAAATTATGAATAGGGACCCCATGTCAACATTTTTTTCAAAATATTGAACCTATTTACTCAAAAGAGGATCTCCTTTTTATGATTTTTATTGCATGAAAAGATTATTCAACAAGGGGTCTAAAAATCTTCAAAAATATAATGGTATTGAAAGTCTAGTTTTGAAGATATCAATTTTCGATGACCAAAATGATGCTGAAAACAATGGATAGCACGAGTTTTCCCTATGGGAAAATAACATGGGATGTGTGGTTTTTAAATTTAACGAATTTCAATATGCTCCCCCTTTTCAGAAATTGTTAATATAGTGTAGAAGAAACTTCCGAGACGTTTAATTGAGAAAAACAAGATCCTCTTTTTAGAAAATAAGCCTAATATTTTTTAAAAAGTGCAAAGTTGGGGCCCTAATCCATGATTTTTCAGAGAGTTGGATTGATATTTTACTTCCATGGGGACTTCACTTGAAAGAAAGCATATTGTTTTAATAAAAACCATTGTATTGATGGCCAGAAAGTACCCATGGTGAAAGATATGACTGTCTAAAATCGCTTGCCATACTGTACATGGACCTTTGGCAGTGATTAGTTTATAGCTTTAACATTTATCTCTCAAGTATTCTAGCAACCAGGTTCGGCAACCTGTTGGAAGTTCGAAAATTACACCTCACTCTGTTGAAACTCGGCTTGCACCTTCAGTAGTTAAACAGATGGGATAATCTCTTGTTAAGAAATGCATTAATGTTAAAAATGTACTATATTCTAGGTCTTGGTATGACGTGTCCCGACCCAAGTGAAGCATACACGACACCAGATGGTGTAGAGATACCTATGGGAAAGGGAATGTCGGCCCCTATTGGGAGATCCAGCTTACTTTACAACGAGTATCCTTTTCATCTTTACAATTTCAAAGTGCATATTATATTGTCAGGGTCTTGTGATGAAGGGTGTGTCTCTCAGAGAGGGTGGTTTGGGTGGGTGCCACATAATCTTGTCATTAGAATTCCAGGAACACCTTAGTTAAAGTAAATGTTGATAGTAACTCAATAGTAATGACCCCTTCCCTACTTTTCAACATTAATTAGATCAGGCCTGTAGCCAGGGGGAGTCGATGGGTTTGAGGGACCCCCCCCCCTGGCCAAAAAATCTCAAAATCATGCAGTTTTTCACCATTCTGAGCACTTTTTAAGTGATTTTGGCCATTTTTGGACCAAAATTGTTACAAGTGAACCCCCCTGGAATTTTTCAAACAATGAGGAATATGTTAGACATTGTTTCTTTGTGCATTAGTTTGGGATATTGGGGCTTTCTTTTCCTTTTGATTGGTTGATATATTTTAAACAAGTCTTGCATGGAATCTGCGCATGGTTTGATTTGTCTTTTCTTAAATATAAAAAATATTCCACACTGCATTTCCTTACAAAATCATCGTTTGACTCCTACGAAGAAACGTAACTTCGTTCTTCCATAACTATTGATAACATGACACCATCTTTGAATAACTCAACAACAACAAGAATAGTATGTGGGGATAATGAAAGTAGGGCAAAAAGAGAAACATGTGTTCTGCCCGTGCTTTCTGGATATTTTGAAACTGCATTTTATGTTTTGTTTATAGAAATCATGTTTTTATATGGTCCTTAACTTCAACACAGATTCATTGTGTATGATGTAGCCCAAGTCAGCTTCAAATACCTACTCAAGGTCAACTTCAAGTACAAGTGGTGAAGTAAAAGTAAAAGTGGTGAACTGCAAGTACAAGTGGTGAATTTTGTGTACAAGTGGTGAACTTAATGGACAAGTGATGGACTGAAATTACAACTGGCGAACTTAATGTAGAAGTGATGGACTGAAAATACAAGTGGAAAACTGCAAGTACAGGTGGTGAATCGCTAGTACAAGTGGTAAACTGCAAGTAAAAGTGATGAATTGCAAGTACACATAAACTGGATTTTTGAAGGCCCAAGTGTAAGATGAACAACAAGTAACAGTAGTGAACAAGAAGAACATGCCACCTTTAGTGAAATTAATAGACTTTTAGTACACAGGAGAGCTCATAATGAACATTAAGTGTGTGTGGTAATTTTTCTCAACAAATCTACAAGTTGAAGGAGTGAAAATTTGAAATATGAGACCGCAGACTGGATTGATGGAAAAGAATTGAAGCTACAATAATCATGACATGTACATGCATTCTGTGAACAATGAACATGTGATTTGTCTTTTGAACTTTTTGTTAGATATAATTTCAGTCAGGGAGTTTCATGCTTGTTGAAGAAAAATTGTGTATTGTAAATGTGGCGCAACCATGTTAAGTTTTTTCTTACATAGAATATCAATATCTGGCTTGCTGTTAGTTTTATTGATAAACGTGTGCAGTTACTGCAGACAACGCAGTACGAGTGCAGTTACTGCAGACAACGCAGTACGAGTACAACTACACTTGAGGACTCCATTCCTTATTCTAATGCTTCATATGAAGACATGTTGCTTCTTTGTTTTTGTTGTTTGTTATAGATAAGATGTATACGATAATCTGACTGATAGATGAAAAATAAAATATTTTACAACTGTAGCTCAATTTGGTTGTGGTTTCCTAACTTTGGTGGGCTTATATGCAATGATATTATGAGGGACTTAGGCCATATGTTTTTAAGACATTTTTAAATGAACATGATAATGTAATAATGTGATACACAGGGATTACTATCTCTATGTAATTTTTTTTTCATTGACATTCTGTTCCCATACCTTTATTACTCAATCTGGCAAGTGAATGAATACTACAAAGGGGAGAATAAATCCCGAGAGGACCATAATTCCACTTGTTGACGTTAAATACAGATCGTGTAGCCAACCTGACATGGCATTTACCTAAATCCCACATACCAAAAATCCAGGGGAGGATTCACATTTGACAACTTCAGCTAAAAAATCACTTAAAAATGTCTCATTGTGGTGAAAATATGATTTTGAAAGAATTTCAAAGAACGTTTGCTCGACCCCCTCCCCCTTGCTAACTGGCCTGCTTACATAGCAAAGTTCTACACAAACTTTTGGCTTAAAGCAGACTAAGGAGTAACAAAAGATATGATCTGAGTTTGTATTAGTGACATGTTTTTCATGAATTTTTTGGTCCATAAAAATATGTTTTTTTTGCAACGCATCCTGATTGTTTGGTTATATGGAAACATCAAAGGATAAGCATGATTGAGAAAATGAAAACGGTCAAATTACAGATAAAACGTCAAAACCACAAGCAGTTGAAATGAAACACGTGCTAGTATACAATACTTTTAAAGGAAGAAATTGACTAAGTTTTTTTTCTTAATTTTATGTCACTCCGTCTAGATGATCATGTCATTTTTCCTTTTCAAGTCCTTCATTTAGTCTCTTGTTGTTGTTCTGGGGGTCGATGTTTTCAGTCGAGCTGAATCATCCTTACTATCCGAGGAATCATCCTTACTATCCGAGGAATCATCATCCTTACTATCCGAGGAATCGTCATCCTTACTATCCGAGGAATCATCATCCTTACTATCCGAGGAATCATCCTTACTATCTGAATCATTACTATCTGAATCATCATCTGAATCGTCCTTACTAGACTTACTATCCGAATCATCGTTGAAATCTGAGCCGCGTTTGTACTGATAATCATGTACGCAGTGGCATTTTCGTTTAATCACTGGTCTGGTGCAGCCCCAACTGGAACATTTTCCATTGACACGATCATAGCCACGGCAATCATAATGTTCGCAGCAGCTGTATATACACGCTTCATCGTTTTGTTCGCATTTCAGGAATCCATATTTTGGGAAGGGGCATTGGCGTGAGACATTAGGGTGAAAGTAATCATGTTCTGCACTGTGACGACTCCGCTTCTCACGCCTATGTGTGTTCCCTGGAATTACAATCATGAAGGGGATAAATCCCAAAAAGCACAGGTGTAAAAGGGTAGGAGGTCCTATCAAATTATGGTCCTACTCTCCATTGATTTATATGATGACCTCTTTCCCTTATTATCTTATACACAATCAGGGCCAATAAGGGCCGTTAAGAAGGGGGACCATAATTTCTTTCACACCGGGTTTTATTCAATAATTGAATCACGGGATGCTATCGCCCAATTTGGTCAACGTCTATAGGAGCAGGTCGTTTCAAGATTTTCACGCTATTTATTTTAAACTCAAAAGCTGCTCATTCGCAGACAAAATGAACCAGCACATGCAATGAGACAATGTCAATCGTCGACGAAATTCGCCGGAAGACCATTATGATTTGATACAAACTTATTGAAAAAGGCGCGAATGTCCTCGCAAAACATGGCCTCGCATTGGCTCGCAAATATCTATACTCGCAGTTCAGTCCACGAAGCCAGACTCCGATCATGTAAAGTAACGTAATGGATTACCTTTCTCTGTCATTGGCCCACTTAGGCCTATAGGGACTGCCCAATATACTTTTAGTCCCTTACACAAAGCTTCCGCATCATCTCCCAGGAAACTGATATCTGCAATAGGGTCACGATCAGCTTTGAAGCTCTCTCTTACAGGGTCACCTTCCGATCCCTGTAACAAAATTTTCCTGGTTAACTTTTGTTTGTCACTGATGAGACTTTGGGCATCAAATTATTTAAGTTTCTAACATAGGTCATCGTCGTTTTCCAATGGGTCTAGAGGGGAGAACAACGGAAACCTTGTGAAGGCTAGTTAGTACTTATAAATAGAATGTAAAACTTACGGGTGCTGGTTGAGTCTCGCGATGACTTTCCAGCTCCTTGGGGCTTGAGAGCCCAGCCTTGTTAAGTTGCGCAACGAAACAAAGAGGCGTTCGTCCATTCATCCAAACTCTGCTAATACTTAAACCCTGAAGATAGAATGTGAATCGAATAAAATATTTTGTAGACCCTTATTGATAAGAAATATCATTTACATCTAGAATCAGTCAGAGACATATAAAACAATATGTCACCATTTCTGGTTATACATAATAAGAGAGGGGGTGAGAAGGGGAGTAGATGTGAATGAGAATGAACCATCCGACCAAGGAACCAACAATTCAATCAACCAACCAACTACTGACGGAGCTGCAAGATAGTTCAGTAACTTACACGTTTATAGTCCATGATGAGTTTAAATCCAGTCGTGCCATCATTGGCCTCGTATGTAGTCTGCTTCTCCTCACCAATATTGATCGTCTGCTTTTCGTATCTACCTTTGCCACCTTTAACAGTCCTCATAGTCGTCTCAAATGTCTGTAAATTAGATTATCGCATGATCTGTAAAATGAAGCCTTTTGATTGGTCAGTTCTTGTGCTGTACCAATCTGTCTTGCTACTGATATTGTCCCCATTGATCATCTCCGTCGCAATACAGAAAATATTGGTACGGGGGGGACATTCTCAGTAGCAATACAGAGGATCACACGATAAAAACTTTATAGTGTTTAATTATGTAAAGATCAGACTATTTATTAGTAAAGTCGATCAACATTATTTGATTACTTATTGCGTGAAAATGATGCAGTTTGTGACATTGTGGATTCGTTCCCCTTATTACTGGTTATACTACCTTAAATGTTTATTTTTGCCGTGTCTCCGGTCTGCCATTTTGGGCTTGCACTAGAATATTCACAATATGTTCGTAGCACAAATCTAAAAAAATTACCTTCAAAGTGTTTCTGTGCATCATATGCACCGCACCGAGAAACCCTCCTATCACCATGGCAACAATAAGGACAATCGCAACGGACACAACCGCATATTGTTTCCGCTTTTTTGGAGTAACATTTGGTGTCGGTTGAGGCATCTGAAATATCGGTGTTATATATATAATATATTGCCCTTGGCCTATCCAAAATAGGAGAAAAACAAGACTGAAACTTTCTTGAGACATATATATTTTTTAGTTTTGGTCGAATTTTTCTGTAGCCCCGTTTGAACTGCGCGCTACTTCTATTTCTCATTGTTAAATTTTGGTACCATCGGGGTGTCACACAGTATGTAACGAGTATATAACCAGGTATCAGTCAGAAACTAACAGATACTGGCATATCTACTTTATAATGAATATGGGTACTCTTGTTTACTCTTTGAAAAATACAAACAATTTATTATCTGTGAATATATCATTTACACTACAGGGGCGTAGCCAGCTTTCGGTCAGGGGGGGGTGCGATCGACAAAAAAAACTCGGTTTTCAGTCAGTGGGGTGCGATTATGGCATATAAAGAAGCCAAAAATGAGAATTATACAAAAATTGATGCCTTCAGAATATTGAGCTAGAAGCTTCAAATAAAAAGCGCCCATCGCACCCCCCCCCCTCCCATGGCTACGCCTATGCCCTACTCACATATACTTGATCTAGATATATGATATATGAATAAATTAAAACACACTACTTACGCCACTAGATGTCAAAATCTCACAGTTGGCTTTCTCTACTTTTCCAATGTTTGGTTTCATCATGAGATGTCACCGTTCAAGAGCCGAGATAAATTTCTTGTCTCAAAATGAGCAAATGTAGCCTGCTCTTGTCCGGTTCTTTTCAAGAGACCTTCTGCCGTTTTTGACAAGCATCTCGATGTTTTATACTCTGTTTCGGGAGGTTGTTTGTATCCTTTAACCATCGTATTTATTAAATAGAATTTAATTGTTTATAGCTTTTTCGTGATGATACTTTTACAATAACATACCTTGTTTAGATTTATAGCTTTTTCGTGCTAGTATCATTTTTGGAAAGTGTTATTATGTTATTTTTCGTGACCTTCTGTTCAAGAAAAAAAGTATATCATGTTTATGTCACCACTAGAAATGTTGACATTTTGTTATAGTCTCCAACTTTTTGTGGACGGTGTTCGGCGGTTGGCATCTGTAACAAATGACGTTCGGCGTCAAATGGCAAGTAGTGACATTTCTCTTTGTTTGCCATTATAACTAGCGTGACTTTCTTCGGTTGGATTCGTGTTCAAGGTTGTCCATCAATCCCAACAAAAATAATCTGAATGATGAAATAAAGGTGCACTCTAGAACGTGACAACAATGGCACAAATTATTTATATAAAAATCGAGAACAGCAGGATGATTTGGAGTTCAAATTGTTCATCTAATCACCCTATGCAGACAGAGCCTGTGGGAAATATTGGGTGCGGAGCAAATGAGCGGAGGGTGCGGAGCTAACGGTTATTTTTGAATTTAAATTTGGGATATTTCTGAAACTAAGCCGTTTTGGGACTTCAAATATACCAAGATATGTGTATTTGACACCAAATATCAATACAATTGTGAAAATAGTAGCGCAATTCATTCTATAGCGACGCAGTGTGCCTTAAACCTTTCCCAGACCTATATATTTTGAAATTATCCTTTTAATACTGAGTCCCCAGCATTCATAAAAAATGGTGTTCAAGGTGCACTATCTATACAAATTATTTTTGCATCTTGGAAGCCAGGCAGTATCTGTGTGATTTTATAAAAATTCGGAAATGTTCTTCAGATATGAGCCCCTCTAAATATTGGGTGCGGAGCAGCTCCATAAACGTAGCTCCGCACCCAATATTTAGAGGGGCTCATATCTGAAGAACATTTCCGAATTTTTATAAAATCACACAGATACTGCCTGGCTTCCAAGATGCAAAAATAATTTGCAAGGGTAGTGTATCTTGAACACCATTTTTTATGAATGCTGGGGACGCAGTATTAAAAGGATAGTCTCAAAATATATAGGTCTGGGAAATGTTTAAGACATACTGCGTCGCTATAAAATGAATTGCACTACTATTTTCACAATTTTATTGATATTTGGTGTCAAATACACATATCTTGGTATATTTGAAGTCCCAAATCGGCTTAGTTTCAGAAATATCCCAATTTTAAATTCAAAAATGACCGTTAGCTCCGCACCCTCCGCTCATTTGCGCCGCACCCAATATTTCCCACAGGCTCTGTCTGCATAGGGTGCTAATGCTATAAAGCGTCTTTCACAAAACACGACACGAATGTACTGAAAACGGTTTTATAGTTTGAAGATGATTCGGATAAAAATTCCAAGGGTATATTTTAAACAAATAACCTCTAAAATAGTTCCGTTAAGAGTATGTTACAGAGATCATTTCTTAATATAAGGTACGTGAGCCTGGGTACGTGAGTTTTTGAAGGACGGGTCGTGCTGTTTATTTCACAAATAAAATCGGTCTGCATATTATTTTGAATGTCTTTATTCCACATCATCATACATTTGAATTCTTGCAAATAATGGCAGAAATTTTCAAAAATATCAGAAAAATGTATAATCTATAGTTAAATGGTCAGTATTGTTTGCATAATTGGTTCACAATGGAATGCCATTGTATAAAACAATCGACAAATTCTAAAACATTAAAGACAGTATGCATAAAATGCAACTTATTTGATACAATGACTTAATTGCCAGTAACTTAAAACCCTCGTATCTTAAATCGCAGGATCATAGAAGATACACTCTCACCCAAAGTTTTGACAAACCCCATTCCCCAACTGGAGTATCTGTTGAAACTTCAGTTATTTGAATTCATATTTTCATCATTCTGATATGATGAGAAGAAAAATAAAACAAAAAAATAACTGTGTAACGGTTGCTTGATAAGGCTTTTCATGTTTTTAACTTCCAAACAATGCTAACGTCGTGAAAATAGAACAGCATTATAGAAACCTGCTATTAGAACTAGGTATTTATTTAGATTGATATCTGTCGCTAAAAACTAGTACACTATAATTTGTCGTATGACGATATTTGAAATAAAGAGCTCTGATTGGTTAAACCGGTTTTGGTACAGCTGAATTTTATGTGTGAGTTGCACAAGGTTGAGTTCGTCAGTTGACCAGAGGGCAGGATACGATGAAGACTATGTGATTGTGGCTTCTTGTTTGATGTTTGGATTTTGGACCATGCTTTGTTGAGTATTGGATATTGGTACTAGGTTTGATATACGGAAGTACATTAGGTATAGTACAACAAGGTATGCCTTTGACTTTATAACTTCTGGTAGTTTGAGATCAAATACTTGATAATGTTAGATGTATTACGATAACGGAAGTTAGGGCGTGGCTTAGCCCTCTGGCGCTCCGGGGTTGGATCTCGTTATTAGCATTTCCATTTTATCTCTTATTGTCTGTGGCTTGTTTTATATTACTGTATGCATGTATTGTTATATGTTGTAAATAAATATTTGATGTTGTAAACCGTGTTGATTTTATCCGATTGTTATCCTTGTAAATACCCTCTGTCCTTTGTTCTTTTTGCTTAGCTGTATTTTCAGTACCATCAATACCCCTAGTAAGGTCGCATTACATTGGTGGCAGCGAAACTGACCTACAGCAATTGACAACAGCTGTGAACCGGCGTCTCCAGCCTGGTGAAAGGGGAGAAGGTATTGCTAGCAAAAGGTACGGTACTTTGGTAAGAAGGGTAAAGGATAATGTAAAATCACACGTAACATTGTCAATTGAATATTTTATCTAGGTATTTTTTTATCAAAGGCTCCAATCAATCGCACGTATACAACGTCACATTTGAAAACGAATTTTTGCAAGGCAATTCATGTCTTAGGCTCATTTTCAATATTCAAAGCGATCAGTACTGACGTGAGGTAACTAAATGTTTTGGTGTATAAAGTCATGGGGAACTTAAACAGCCTTTACTTTACTCACACTCGCAATATGTCAGAATTTTGATCTTAGGATAATGCAACGCTACTCAGGATCAGGCGTTTGCACATCAGACTGTCTACATTGTAACGTTACTCAGGATTAGACGTATACATTCCAGTCATGCAACGATAGTTCACATTTTGACATTATTGCTCGAGTTTGTATAACAAGGCAATGGGAAGGAAACTTTTATCTAAAACACCGAAAGTAAACAGTTACCTTACCTATATGTACTGAATTAGCAATTACATGCTTCATTGAAAGCGTTCAGGAAACTCAACAGCTTTGAATTATATTGAGCTTTTCTACCAACTATTAGAAAATTCGAATGTGACAAATGTATTTAAAGCAATGATTGTATGATACAAGCCTAGGGGGACTGCAAATTCATACACAAAATTCATCTTGAATTTGACGTATCAGTACAGTTGAACTAGATTGATTGCAGTATTTAAAAATCATATCGTTTCTTTGTCACATTAGAATGATTTTTGACTAAACACTTAGCTTTTGAGTGAATGTACCAACAACATTGTACGTTGATTGTCGTATTTTACATGCAAAGGATTCATATCACGCCACATCTGAGTTTTTATCTTGTTTAACAGGCTTATGTTTACGTACACCCCACATAATCACGGAACGAGATGAGACATTAATTTCATTGTCACATGATCTCGCATATAATTTGTGCCACTTGATTTCGACATAAATTTTATTGCCATATACTGTAATCAGTGGTAGGGTATGCGAATGCAAATTAGATTTTAGATGATGCCGTTTTAGGAAGTTATAAATCTTCTGATATACGTAAGATCTTGTTTGAAATAACTCTCACCGGTATGGAACTGCAACGCATGTGTAACAAAATGTAAGATAATGATATCTGCATGCACTGTAGTTAGGAGTTTGTATGTAAATTGATTTGGTACAGTGATAAATGCTTGTATACAACCTATAGTTAGATATCGTACCAGTGTTGGAAATACCTTGGTCGATAGTGGAATTTCATTCTCACCAGTGTGGGAAAATTGTAAATCATTGTTGGAACTTGGCGTCATAAAGACCCAGTTCCTGTGAAAATTACATGTGATTGTTTGTTTAATGGTAATACAATCAGTCTTACCAATCTTACCCCACCAGTGCGTAGCGTTGGGAATATGTGGTTTATGTCTGAACTTTCCAATTTGGATAATATTGTCGTTTATTTTCCCCAAATTCAGACTAACAACACCACTACGTTGTAATCTCGACGCTAACTTCGCATGGAGTATTTAACCAGTGTGTAGGATAAACACAGGAATTTAACTAATAGCAATATCACTAGTGTGTATCATTTTTTTATCGCACCCAGTAATCAAGCATTGAAACACATATGTATGAATATTGAACTATTCTAACTATTCCTATTGTATAGGTTGATGAAACGTTTGGTGGAAAGATACTTACTGGAGATATACTTAGTAGGGAAAGTTTGTTTTCACTAGTGTGGATCATTGGAAAATTGATACAGTGATTTGATAAACTAGATTGTGAACGGGAAACTAAATAGTACGTTCATCCTATAACCTGCGATATAATTTTTATGTTGTTTAGTACACTGGATTACTGGATATTGTACATAGTACGAGTAACCATTTGTGAGAATATATACAATGTAAATACGGTACATACACATAGACGAAATTTTGATTTTAATCACCCAGATCTGTAATTGAAAATGTACACAGAGACGCCATTAGCAAGTCTCACCAATGTAGATTGGTAACATGTATATGTTTTAGAAATACTTTTTAAATGTGAAATCGTTGTGAATTTGAATTTTCAATGAATTGAATTGCATGTAGGAACTGGGATAGTACGTTGCACTCTTGAGATTACAGAATAGTAAACAGAGAATAAATACGATACAAAAACATATAGCAATGGAAAGCCATAGAGCAATGGCAAGTGAATCGGTAGACACGTTATTCCCAGCACAGAATTACAAAGCAAAGCCAGACAAATATAGTGGCGAAATAGCATGGCAGGATTATCTGTCACACTTTGAAGTATGTGCACATATCAATAGTTGGAGTGATGTGCAGAAAGCACACATGTTAGCAGTGAATCTTAGAGGTGTCGCTAGGGAAATTTTCACTGATATACCAAATGAAAGCAAATACGATTATGCTGTATTAACAAATACACTGAAAGCTAGATTCTC